ACTCGCGGGCTCCATCGTGTCGCACAAATTTGACCTTCTTGTTGAACTGCGTCTGTATCATCGTGATGTACTTCTTGATGCACTCTTCGCTCTCTGACTTGGAATGCAGACAAAAACCCTTCATGCATCCGCTGGCTTCATCCACGATCAGCAGCAGATACTTGCTGCCACCCAGAGATTTTTCTTCCATGGGTCCGCAGATGTCGAAGTGGAGCATCTCGAAGGTGTTGTAGGTGCGCTTGTCACGGTTGCTCGGGAATGGTTTTTGGACCATCTTCCCTTCTTGGCATCCTCGACACACACTTGATCCATTCGGCTTGGAAGGGATGTGAGCGTCCTTGATCATGTGGCTTGTCACCATCCTGCGAAGCACGTCGACTGGAGCATGGCCCATTCGCGCATGTAGATCAACAGCGTTGCTGAGTGATGTCGCATTGGCCGATCGCTGCGTCGTGCGAAGCCAGTAGAGTCCGTCTACAAGATCCGCAGCTGCCACCACTTGATTGGAATCCTTGCGAGCGACGTACATCGTATCCCCGTCAAACACCACTTGGAAGTTGCCGTGCTTGTTAATCTGCGGCACCGAGAGCAGATTTTTGCTCATGCTGGACACATAGAGCGCGTTCTTGATCTCGATCTCGCGCTCGTCCCCGTTTGGCAGAATCACCTTTTCCACGATGGTCCCCACACCTTTGATGGCCGCCTTGTTGCCATCAGCCACCAGGATCTCGCCATCATTGCCTTCGACCAAGCTTGCAAACTTGAACTTGTCGTGGCAGATGTGATGTGTTGCCCCGCTGTCAACGGCCCACATTCCTGGTCCATTCTTGTTCGTCGAAACTCCGCATTCGAACGAAACTGCAAACGCCACTCGATCGTAGCTGTTGCCTTCATCATAATGTCGCCACTGGACATTGTTTGTCCCGCGTCCACGACCATTGCCGCCGCGTTGGGCTCCTCGACTTTCATCCTTTTGCTTCGTCCAGCAACGCTCTGCCGTGTGCCCCACCTTGCCGCAGTATGTGCATTGGTAGGGCTTGCGCTCGGTACTGAATGCCTTTGTCGCATCTTCAGTCTTCACCGTTGTCGTTGCCGTTGTCATCTTCTCGCCTTGTCGCTTGATGTGCTCGTTAGTCAGCACCTTGACCACATCTTGCGTGCGCAGCTCTGCATTGCTCATCTCCAAGTTGAGAACCACGTTCTCGAAACTCTTGGGCAGACTGCGCAGTAAGCAGATCGCAACGTCCTCGTCTTACATCTTGGCGCCGATGCTGCTGAGCTTGGCGCCGATGTTCAAGACTTCGTTGCAATGGTGCAAGACGTTGGCACCTTCCGCCATCTTGATGCTGAACAGCTGGCGCTTGAGGTAGATGCGTCCCGCCTTCTGCGACCCACCATAGAGCATCTTCAACCGCGACCACGCTGTCCATGCTTCTTCACAGTTGTCGACCACATGGTGGTAGTCGGCGTCCATGTGGAGCAACATCAACCCGAACGCGATGTTGCTCGCCTTGACGTACTCGTCGGAAGCTCGCGTGTCGGTGAAGGTTGGAGACGTTTCGCGGTTCACGACGTACCAGACTGACTTCGTCAGAAACACGCCGCGCATGTAGCGACACCAGGTTGAGTAGTTGTCCCCATCGAACTTATCGATGGAGACACTGGCCGAGGTGTTGTTGGACGACATGGCGCTTGGGCTCATAACCTGTTGTAACTTGAGCGCGAGGCGAAGAGAAAACGAAGCGGAGAGACCGGAGAGAACGAAGCAGAGAACACTTGCTCACTTGAGGGAGGATTCGAAAGTGATTGATTTATAGGTCTTAACTTCTGCCTACCCTAGACTGCATCCAATCACATGGTGCATCTAATCAACCTGATTTACACGCGTCCAATCATCCTACGCGTCTAATCATCTCTGAGGTAATTACCGATGTAAAAACTATCTCGTAAGAACTACGCGCTAGGTTCGGATTGTACCGGTAACCCATAATAACCCATCCGCCTTGCGCTTGATCTTGAAGACCCACTTTGTGCCAATGGCGCTTTGTCCGTTGGGTAACTTGGCCGCACGAAAGACACCGCAAGCTTCATCGAATCGAGCTCCGCATCAATTGCCTTGCGCCAGTGTACTTGGTCCGGGCCAGACACTGCTTCTTCAAATGTCGACGGCTCCGAAAAATCGACCGCTGCTTCGACGGCGTTTGCACTCGCATGCCAAAACGCGGAGGAAGTCGGTGTGTCATGTTGTTCCTCCGACTTCCTTTCTTCATCTTCGTTGGCTCGACGTGAAGAGAGGTCATCCGGCGCACTTGACTCTTCCAATCCGGGTCGTTGGCGCACTGCTCGGGGCATGCTTGCGTCGTCATTGTCGTGACTGGGTTGGGCCTTGCGCTTTCCTGTTTGTTTGAAGTGTCTTGGACGCGGTTCTTCATCATCAAGATCGATCGATTCGAAGTCCAGGCCATCAACATCGTCATCGGAAATCAGCATCGACATTCCAAAGGCCGACTCATCGAAGTTGACATCGCGACTTATCATCACCTGCCCCGCTTCGATGTCGTAAACTCGATACGCCTTGGACACTTCTTCGTAGCCCAAAAACAATCCAGCCCGGGCCTTGGGATCCCACTTGAGTCGTTTCTCCTTCGGGGTCAAGATGTATGCTTGGCACCCAAAAACGCGCATGTGCTTGACACTTGGCTTAGAATTGTAGACAATCTCGAACGGTGTCTTGTGTGGAATCTTGGGTGACGGCAAACGGTTCTTCACATAGACGGCCGTCATTGCCGCTTCAGCCCAGAAGCACTTGTCCAACTTGGCATGATGGAGCATGCTACGACCGATGGTGACGATAGTTCGAATCGCGCGTTCAGCAGTTCCATTGGCTTGATGTGCGTATGGCACCGTGGTTTGTTGCTCGATGCCTTCGACTTCGTAGAAATCTTGAAGCGAGTTCGTCGCAAACTCGCGGGCTCCATCGTGTCGCACAAATTTGACCTTCTTGTTGAACTGCGTCTGTATCATCGTGATGTACTTCTTGATGCACTCTTCGCTCTCTGACTTGGAATGCAGACAAAAACCCTTCATGCATCCGCTGGCTTCATCCACGATCAGCAGCAGATACTTGCTGCCACCCAGAGATTTTTCTTCCATGGGTCCGCAGATGTCGAAGTGGAGCATCTCGAAGGTGTTGTAGGTGCGCTTGTCACGGTTGCTCGGGAATGGTTTTTGCACCATCTTCCCTTCTTGGCATCCTCGACACACACTTGATCCATTCGGCTTGGAAGGGATGTGAGCGTCCTTGATCATGTGGCTTGTCACCATCCTGCGAAGCACGTCGACTGGAGCATGGCCCATTCGCGCATGTAGATCAACAGCGTTGCTGAGTGATGTCGCATTGGCCGATCGCTGCGTCGTGCGAAGCCAGTAGAGTCCGTCTACAAGATCCGCAGCTGCCACCACTTGATTGGAATCCTTGCGAGCGACGTACATCGTATCCCCGTCAAACACCACTTGGAAGTTGCCGTGCTTGTTAATCTGCGGCACCGAGAGCAGATTTTTGCTCATGCTGGGCACATAGAGCGCGTTCTTGATCTCGATCTCGCGCTCGTCCCCGTTTGGCAGAATCACCTTTTCCACGATGGTCCCCACACCTTTGATGGTCGCCTTGTTGCCATCAGCCACCAGGATCTCGCCATCATTGCCTTCGACCAAGCTTGCAAACTTGAACTTGTCGTGGCAGATGTGATGTGTTGCCCCGCTGTCAACGGCCCACATTCCTGGTCCATTCTTGTTCGTCGAAACTCCGCATTCGAACGAAACTGCAAACGCCACTCGATCGTAGCTGTTGCCTTCATCATAATGTCGCCACTGGACATTGTTTGCCCCGCGTCCACGACCATTGCCGCCGCGTTGGGCTCCTCGACTTTCATCCTTTTGCTTCGTCCAGCAACGCTCTGCCGTGTGCCCCACCTTGCCGCAGTATGTGCATTGGTAGGGCTTGCGCTCGGTACTGAATGCCTTTGTCGCATCTTCAGTCTTCACCGTTGTCGTTGCCGTTGTCATCTTCTCGCCTTGTCGCTTGATGTGCTCGTTAGTCAGCACCTTGACCACATCTTGCGTGCGCAGCTCTGCATTGCTCATCTCCAAGTTCAGAACCACGTTCTCGAAACTCTTCGGGAGACTGAGCAGCAAGCAGATCGCAATGTCTTCGTCTTCCATCTTGGCACCGATGCTGCTGAGCTTGGCGCCGATGTTCAAGACTTCGTTGCAATGGTGCAAGACGTTGGCACCTTCCGCCATCTTGATGCTGAACAGCTGGCGCTTGAGGTAGATGCGTCCCGCCTTCTGCGACCCACCATAGAGCATCTTCAACCGCGACCACGCTGTCCATGCTTCTTCACAGTTGTCGACCACATGGTGGTAGTCGGCGTCCATGTGGAGCAACATCAACCCGAACGCGATGTTGCTCGCCTTGACGTACTCGTCGGAAGCTCGCGTGTCGGTGAAGGTTGGAGACGTTTCGCGGTTCACGACGTACCAGACTGACTTCGTCAGAAACACACCGCGCATGTAGCGACACCAGGTTGAGTAGTTGTCCCCATCGAACTTATCGATGGAGACACTGGCCGAGGTGTTGTTGGACGACATGGCGCTTGGGCTCATAACCTGTTGTAACTTGAGCGCGAGGCGAAGAGAAAACGAAGCGGAGAGACCGGAGAGAACGAAGCAGAGAACACTTGCTCACTTGAGGGAGGATTCGAAAGTGATTGATTTATAGGTCTTAACTTCTGCCTACCCTAGACTGCATCCAATCACATGGTGCATCTAATCAACCTGATTTACACGCGTCCAATCATCCTACGCGTCTAATCATCTCTGAGGTAATTACCGATGTAAAAACTATCTCGTAAGAACTACGCGCTAGGTTCGGATTGTACCTGTAACCCTCAATAAACCCTTTTGCCACGAGGCGCGCCTTGTATTTCTCGATGGATCCATCAGCTTTCCGTTTGATCTTGAATACCCACTTGGTGCCAATGGTATGCTGTCCAGCATGGCAGTTTGGTCGCTCGAAACACGCCACGAAGTTTCATCGAGTCCAACTCGGCACAGATTGCCTTACGCCAATGCACTTGATCTGGTCCACCAACAGCATCTCCAAACGTTGTCGGCTCAGACAAGTCAGTACCTTCGACTGCATTGGCACTCGCTCGCCAAAAGACTTGAGGTGTAGCATCCTCGTTATCTTCGTCACTGCCCTTTTGCTCTTCGTCCAGATTGTCTCGAGCGCTTGATCGTCGCTTCGCTTGGTGCGATTCAGAGTCATCCGGGGCACTTGCTTCTTCTAACCCGGTTCCACGACGCTCAAGAAGTGTCCGTTGTAGAACTTGTTCTTGACTGTTTGAACGGCTTTTGCGTTTTCCAGTTTGCTTGAACTGCATGGGGTGAGGCTCATCGCTGATGTTCATCGATTCGATATCCAGCGCAGTGTCATCAACAATTTCTTGTGGTAGTCTCGGCGAGAAACCAAGCGTTGATTCGTCGAATGTGACATCGCGAGATATCACCACTTGGTCCGCTCCAATGTCGTAAACGCGATATGCCTTTGACACTTCTTCGTGCCCCATGAATAGTCCTTCACGAGCCTTCGGATACCATTTCGATCTCTTTTCCTTAGGGGTCAGCACAAACGTTCGGCAGCCGAAAACCCGCATGTGCTTCACACTTGGTCGAAATCCGTTGACGATCTCGAACGGGGTTTGATCTTGGCACAAAGGGCGATGGTAGGCGATTCTTGATGTAGATTGCCGTCATTGCTGCTTCAGCCCAAAAACACTTGTCCAGCTTGGCGTAGTGAAGCATGCTGCGCCCGATCGTCACAATAGTCCGAATTGCCCGTTCCGCCGTGCCGTTGGTCTGATGCGCATACGGAACGGTAACTTGCTGCTCGATTCCTTGATCATCGTAAAATGCCTTGAGCGAATTCGCCGCAAATTCTCGTGCACCATCGTGTCGAACGAACTTGACGTTGTAGTCAAACTGCGTCTGTACTGCCATGATGTACTTTTTGATGCACTCTTCGCTGTCGGACTTGGCGCGCAGACTGAAACCCTTCATACATCCGCTGCCTTCATCGACGATCAGTAGCAAGTACTTGCTTCCACCTAGCTAGTCGACTTCCATTGGACCACAGGTGTCGATGTGTAGAAGCTCAAACGTATCGTAGTGGCGCTTGTTTGGATTGCTTGGGAACGGTCGTTGAACCATTTTTCCTTCTAGACAACCTTGACACACGCTTGATCCGCTCAATTTTGCTGGCTTCTTGGCATCCTTGATCATGCCCTTGGAGACCATTCTGCACAAGACATTAATCGGTGCGTGGCCCATACGCGCATGAAGGTTTTCGACTCTTGGTCCTGAAGCCGCATTCACCGATCGTTGGGATGTACGAAGCCAGTAGAGGCCATCCACAAGATCGGCCATCGCTATTACTTGCTTGGAGCCTTTGTGCGAAATCTTCATCTCGTCTATTGAGGGTTACCGGTACAATCCGAACCTAGCGCGTAGTTCTTACGAGATAGTTTTTACATCGGTAATTACCTCAGAGATGATTAGACGCGTAGGATGATTGGACGCGTGTAAATCAGGTTGATTAGATGCACCATGTGATTGGATGCAGTCTAGGGTAGGCAGAAGTTAAGACCTATAAATCAATCACTTTCGAATCCTCCCTCAAGTGAGCAAGTGTTCTCTGCTTCGTTCTCTCCGGTCTCTCCGCTTCGTTTTCTCTTCGCCTCGCGCTCAAGTTACAACAGGTTATGAGCCCAAGCGCCATGTCGTCCAACAACACCTCGGCCAGTGTCTCCATCGATAAGTTCGATGGGGACAACTACTCAACCTGGTGTCGCTACATGCGCGGCGTGTTTCTGACAAAGTCAGTCTGGTACGTCGTGAACCGCGAAACGTCTCCAACCTTCACCGACACGCGAGCTTCCGACGAGTACGTCAAGGCGAGCAACATCGCGTTCGGGTTGATGTTGCTCCACATGGACGCCGACTACCACCATGTGGTCGACAACTGTGAAGAAGCATGGACAGCGTGGTCGCGGTTGAAGATGCTCTATGGTGGGTCGCAGAAGGCGGGACGCATCTACCTCAAGCGCCAGCTGTTCAGCATCAAGATGGCGGAAGGTGCCAACGTCTTGCACCATTGCAACGAAGTCTTGAACATCGGCGCCAAGCTCAGCAGCATCGGTGCCAAGATGGAAGACGAAGACATTGCGATCTGCTTGCTGCTCATTCTCCCGAAGAGTTTCGAGAACGTGGTTCTGAACTTGGAGATGAGCAATGCAGAGCTGCGCACGCAAGATGTGGTCAAGGTGCTGACTAACGAGCACATCAAGCGACAAGGCGAGAAGATGACAACGGCAACGACAACGTTGAAGACTGAAGATGCGACAAAGGCATTCAGTACCGAGCGCAAGCCCTACCAATGCACATACTGCGGCAAGGTGGGGCACACGGCAGAGCGTTGCTGGACGAAGCAAAAGGATGAAAGTCGAGGAGCCCAACGCGGCGGCAATGGTCGTCGACGCGGGGCAAACAATGTCCACTGGCGACATTATGATGAAGGCAACAGCTACGATCGAGTGGCGTTTGCAGTTTCGTTCGAATGCGGAGTTTCGACGAACAAGAATGGACCAGGAATGTGGGCCGTTGACAGCGGGGCAACACATCACATCTGCCACGACAAGTTCAAGTTTGCAAGTTTGGTCGAAGGCAATGATGGCGAGATCCTGGTGGCTGATGGCAACAAGGCGGCCATCAAAGGTGTGGGGACCATCGTGGAAAAGGTGATTCTGCCAAACGGGGAAGAGCGCGAGATCGAGATCAAGAACGCGCTCTATGTGCCCAGCATGAGCAAAAATCTGCTCTCGGTGCCGCAGATTAACAAGCACGGCAACTTCCAAGTGGTGTTTGACGGGGATACGATGTACGTCGCTCGCAAGGATTCCAATCAAGTGGTGGCAGCTGCGGATCTTGTAGACGGACTCTACTGGCTTCGCACGACGCAGCGATCGGCCAATGCGACATCACTCAGCAACGCTGTTGATCTACATGCGCGAATGGGCCATGCTCCAGTCGACGTGCTTCGCAGGATGGTGACAAGCCACATGATCAAGGACGCCCACATCCCTTCCAAGCCGAATGGATCAAGTGTGTGTCGAGGATGCCAAGAAGGGAAGATGGTCCAAAAACCATTCCCGAGCAACCGTGACAAGCGCACCTACAACACCTTCGAGATGCTCCACTTCGACATCTGCGGACCCATGGAAGAAAAATCTCTGGGTGGCAGCAAGTATCTGCTGCTGATCGTGGATGAAGCCAGCGGATGCATGAAGGGTTTTTGTCTGCATTCCAAGTCAGAGAGCGAAGAGTGCATCAAGAAGTACATCACGATGATACAGACGCAGTTCAACAAGAAGGTCAAATTTGTGCGACACGATGGAGCCCGCGAGTTTGCGACGAACTCGCTTCAAGATTTCTACGAAGTCGAAGGCATCGAGCAACAAACCACGGTGCCATACGCACATCAAGCCAATGGAACTGCTGAACGCGCGATTCGAACTATCGTCACCATCGGTCGTAGCATGCTCCATCATGCCAAGTTGGACAAGTGCTTCTGGGCTGAAGCGGCAATGACGGCCGTCTATGTGAAGAACCGTTTGCCGTCACCCAAGATTCCACACAAGACACCGTTCGAGATTGTCTACAATTCTAAGCCAAGTGTCAAGCACATGCGCGTTTTTGGGTGCCAAGCATACATCTTGACCCCGAAGGAGAAACGACTCAAGTGGGATCCCAAGGCCCGGGCTGGATTGTTTTTGGGCTACGAAGAAGTTTCCAAGGCGTATCGAGTTTATGACATCGAAGCGGGGCAGGTGATGATAAGTCGCGATGTCAACTTCGATGAGTCGGCCTTTGGAATGTCGATGCTGATTTCCGATGACGATGTTGATGGCCTGGACTTCGAATCGATCGATCTTGATGATGAAGAACCGCGTCCGAGACACTTCAAACAAACAGGAAAGCGCAAGGCCCAACCCAGTCACGACAATGACGACGCAAGCATGCCCCGAGCAGTGCGCCAACGACCCGGATTGGAAGAATCAAGTGCGCCGGATGACATCTCTTCACGTCGAGCCAACGAAGATGAAGAAAGGAAGTCGGAGGAACAACATGACACACCGACTTCCTCCGCGTTTTGGCATGCGAGTGCAAACGCCGTCTAAGCAGCGGTCGATTTTTCGGAGCCGTCGACATTTGAAGAAGCAGTGTCTGGCCCGGACCAAGTACACTGGCGCAAGGCAATTGATGCGGAACTCGATTCGATGAAGCTTGCGGTGTCTTTCGTGCGGCCAAGTTACCCAACGGACAAAGCGCCATTGGCACAAAGTGGGTCTTCAAGATCAAGCGCAAGGCGGATGGGTCGATCGAGAAATACAAGGCACGACTTGTGGCCAAGGGTTTTCGCCAAAAGTATGGCATCGACTACACGGAGACGTTCTCGCCCGTGGTCAAGTATGTGACGCTGCGAATGGTCATCGCCATTACCAAGCACTTTGGATGGCCCCTCGACCAGCTCGATGTGGTGACTGCGTTCCTGTATGGAGTGATGAAGGAGAAGGTGTTCTGCGCTGTTCCGGAAGGCGTCAAGATGGAAGGTGATTTTGACTGTCTCGAGCTGATCAAGGCGATCTACGGTCTCAAGCAAGCCTCGCGTGTTTGGAACGAGACCTTCGACGAGTTCATACGCTCGATTGGTTTTCAAGCGTCGGGATTCGATCCATGCCTCTACATCGTGACTTCGGAAGGCCATTGTGTTTTTGTGCTGGTCTACGTGGACGATGTCTTGGTGACTGGAAGCTCGCTCGAGATGATTGCGCGCACCAAGAACGACCTCAAGACACGCTTCGAGATGACGGACAGCGGCAAGTGTGCCTTTGTTCTTGGGATCGAGTTATTGGACGGTGAAGATGGCAGCGTGACTATGTGTCAGCGCCGTTATGTCGACGATGTCCTCAAGCGCTTTGGAATGGATGAGTGCAAGGCTGTGGCAAGTCCGGTGGACGTCAGCTCTCGACTGGTTCCGAGCAACTCTGCAAGCAAGGTGGATGTCCCATTCCGTGAAGCAGTGGGTGCTTTGATGCATCTGACGACTGCAACGCGACCGGACATCGCCTATGCTGTAAGCTTTGTGTCACGGTTCATGGAGAAACCCCAAGAAGAACACTGGGTTGCAGTCAAGCGCATCTTCCGCTACCTACAAGGCACCAAGATGCATGGAATCTGCTACAAGCCAAGTGCGAAGATCGACTTTCGTGGCTATTCAGATGCAGACTGGGCCGGTGACCTTGCTGATCGCAAATCGACGTCCGGCTACGTCTTCATGCTATTGGGTGCTCCGGTGAGTTGGGGCAGCAAGAAACAGCCAAGTGTGTCACTGTCTACAAGCGAAGCGGAGTACATCGCACTCAGCCTGGCGATCCAAGAAGGCAAGTGGATCAATCGCTTGCTGTGCGAGATCATGGCGGCTGCAAACGAAGAAGGACCCGAGCTCGTCATCCGTGAAGACAACCAGTCGTGCATCAAGATGACGAAGAATCCGGTCAACCACGGCCGCGCTAAACACATCGACATCAAGTACCATCACATCCGTGATGAAGTCAAGCGCGGCGAAGTGAAGCTTGAATACTGCGAGACGACGTTGATGCTGGCGGACATCATGACGAAGGCACTTCACGGACCGCGTCACAAGGAGCTGACAGAGGCGCTTGGCATCCGTGCGTGTTCGGATTGAGGGGGCGTATTGAGGGTTACCGGTACAATCCGAACCTAGCGCGTAGTTCTTACGAGATAGTTTTTACATCGGTAATTACCTCAGAGATGATTAGACGCGTAGGATGATTGGACGCGTGTAAATCAGGTTGATTAGATGCACCATGTGATTGGATGCAGTCTAGGGTAGGCAGAAGTTAAGACCTATAAATCAATCACTTTCGAATCCTCCCTCAAGTGAGCAAGTGTTCTCTGCTTCGTTCTCTCCGGTCTCTCCGCTTCGTTTTCTCTTCGCCTCGCGCTCAAGTTACAACATCGTCACCATCAAACACCACTTGAAACTTGCCGCTTTTGTTGATTTGTGGTATCGAAAGCAAGTTTTTGTTCATGCTTGGGACGTAAAGCGCGTTTTTGATCTCGACTTCGCGCTCTTCACCGTTGGACAGGGTCACCTTTTCGATGATTGTCCCGACACCGTTGATCGCAGCCTTGTTCCCATCTGCAACCAACACTTCGCCTTCATTGCGCTCGTCCAGAAATTCGAACTTGGACTTGTCATAGCAGATGTGATGTGTTGCACCGCTATCAATCGCCCACATTCCAGACATGCTCTTGGTCGTTGAAAGTCCGCATTCCAGCGAAACAGCAAAAGCCACTCGATCATAGTCACAGTTGCTGTTGCCGTTGTAGCCTTGCCACTGAACTTGATTCGCTCCGCGTCCACGTGCATTGCCGCCGCGTCGAGCTCCCCGATTGTCTTCCTTCTGCTTGGTCCAGCACTTTTCCACCGTGTGCCCCAATTTTCCGCAGAACGTACACTGACGAACCTCACGCTCGGTACTGAAGGCCTTGGTCGCTTCTTCAGTTTTCACCGATGTCGTCTTGTCACCTTGCCTCTTGATGTGCTCATTCGTCAGCACTTTCACGACGTTTTGCGTCCGCAGTTCCGCGCTGCTCATCTCCAAGTTCAGCACGACGTTCTCGTAGCTCTTGGGGAGGCTGCACAATAAGCAGATCGCCACGTCCTCATCCTCCATCTTGGCGCCGATGCTGCTGAGCTTGGCGCTGATGTTGAGAACTTCATTGCAATGATGCATCACATTGCCGCCTTCCGCCATCTCCATGCTGAACAGCTGTTGCTTCAAGAAGATCCGTCCCGCCTTCTGCGATCCGCCGTAGAGAGTCTTCAACCGTGTCCACGCAACCCATGCCTCGTCGCAGTCATCAACCACGTGATGATAGTCCGCGCTCATGTGAAGTAACATCAAGCCGAACGCAATGTTGTTCGTCTTGACGTACTCATCACTGGCGCGAGGATCGGCGAAGGTGGGGGTGGTCTCCCGGTTCACCACGTGCCACGCCGACTTGGTCAGGAACACGCCACGCATAGAGCGGCTTCAAGTTGCGTAGTTGTCTCCATCGAATCTATCGATAGAGATCTTGGTGGCGGAATCTTGAGCAGAGGACATCGTGCTTGGGCTCATAACCTGTTAAAGTCTGAAGAGCACTGGACGAGAGAACGAAGCTTGAAGAACGCTGAAGAAGTCTGCACTGCGAAGTGTAGACGACTTGTGCTGAAGAAGGAATATTTGGATGTTAATTTATTTGTGGGTTTTGTTAAAGCTACCTGATTTATCTCTGCACTGATTTATATGTTGTCCACCTATAAATCATAAATCATAAATCATGTAGGTCATCCAATCATCCTATGCGTCTAATCATTGGTAAAAACTCACCGTAATTACGCGGGATCGACTTGGACAGGTTTACGGTTCCCATGGTGAGCTGATAGCAGTACCTCAGTTGAGAGAGAAAAAAAGAATAAAAACACCCCCAACCGTCAACCCTCAATACCCCCCTCAATGCGAACACGCGCGTATGCCAAGCGCCTCTGTCAGCTCCTTGTGACGCGTTCCGTGGCAGTCCCTTCGTCATGATGTCCGCCAACATGATCGTAGTCTCACAGTACTTGAGCTTGACTTAGCCGCGCTTGACCTCATCACGGATGTGATGGTACTTGATGTCGATGTGTTTAGCGCGGCCGTGGTTGACCGGATTCTTCGTCATCTTGATGCACGACTGGTTGTCTTCACGGATGACGAGCTCGGGTCCTTCTTCGTTTGCAGCCGCCATGATCTCGCACAGCAAGCGATTGATCCACTTGCCTTCTTGGATCGCCAGGCTGAGTGCGATGTACTCCGCTTCGCTTGTAGACAGTGACACACTTGGCTGTTTCTTGCTGCCCCAACTCACCGGAGCACCCAATAGCATGAAGACGTAGCCGGACGTCGATTTGCGATCAGCAAGGTCACCGGCCCAGTCTGCATCTGAATAGCCACGAAAGTCGATCTTCGCACTTGGCTTGTAGCAGATTCCATGCATCTTGGTGCCTTGTAGGTAGCGGAAGATGCGCTTGACTGCAACCCAGTGTTCTTCTTGGGGTTTCTCCATGAACCGTGACACAAAGCTTACAGCATAGGCGATGTCCGGTCGCGTTGCAGTCGTCAGATGCATCAAAGCACCCACTGCTTCACGGAATGGGACATCCACCTTGCTTGCAGAGTTGCTCGGAACCAGTCGAGAGCTGACGTCCACCGGACTTGCCACAGCCTTGCACTCATCCATTCCAAAGCGCTTGAGGACATCGTCGACATAACGGCGCTGACACATAGTCACGCTGCCATCTTCACCGTCCAATAACTCGATCCCAAGAACAAAGGCACACTTGCCGCTGTCCGTCATCTCGAAGCGTGTCTTGAGGTCGTTCTTGGTGCGCGCAATCATCTCGAGCGAGCTTCCAGTCACCAAGACATCGTCCACGTAGACCAGCACAAAAACACAATGGCCTTCCGAAGTCATGATGTAGAGACATGGATCGAATCCCGACGCTTGAAAACCAATCGAGCGTATGAACTCGTCGAAGGTCTCGTTCCAAACACGCGAGGCTTGCTTGAGACCGTAGATCGCCTTGATCAGCTCGAGACAGTCAAAATCACCTTCCATCTTGACGCCTTCCGGAACAGCGCAGAACACCTTCTCCTTCATCACTCCATACAGGAACGCAGTCACCACATCGAGCTGGTCGAGGGGCCATCCAAAGTGCTTGGTAATGGCGATGACCATTCGCAGCGTCACATACTTGACCACGGGCGAGAACGTCTCCGTGTAGTCGATGCCATACTTTTGGCGAAAACCCTTGGCCACAAGTCGTGCCTTGTATTTCTCGATCGACCCATCCGCCTTGCGCTTGATCTTGAAGACCCACTTTGTGCCAACGGCGCTTTGTCTGTTGGGTAACTTGGCCGCACGAAAGACACCACGAAGCTGCATCGAATCGAGTTCCGCATCAATTGCCTTGCGCCAGTGTACTTGGTCCGGGCCAGACACTGCTTCTTCAAATGTCGACGGCTCCGAAAAATCGACCGCTGCTTAGACGGCGTTTGCACTCGCATGCCAAAACGCGGAGGAAGTCGGTGTGTCATGTTGTTCCTCCGACTTCCTTTCTTCATCTTCGTTGGCTCGACGTGAAGAGATGTCATCCGGCGCACTTGATTCTTCCAATCCGGGTCGTTGGCGCACTGCTCGGGGCATGCTTGCGTCGTCATTGTCGTGACTGGGTTGGGCCTTGCGCTTTCCTGTTTGTTTGAAGTGTCTTGGACGCGGTTCTTCATCATCAAGATCGATCGATTCGAAGTCCAGGCCATCAACATCGTCATCGGAAATCAGCATCGACATTCCAAAGGCCGACTCATCGAAGTTGACATCGCGACTTATCATCACCTGCCCCGCTTCGATGTCGTAAACTCGATACGCTTTTAAAACTTCTTCGTATCCCATGAACACACCTGCACGAGCCTTGGCATCCCACTTGAGTCGTTTCTCCTTCGGGGTCAAGATGTATGCTTGGCACCCAAAAACGCGCATGTGCTTGACACTTGGCTTAGAATTGTAGACAATCTCGAACGGTGTCTTGTGTGGAATCTTGGGTGACGGCAAACGGTTCTTCACATAGACGGCCGTCATTGCCGCTTCAGCCCAGAAGCACTTGTCCAACTTGGCATGATGGAGCATGCTACGACCGATGGTGACGATAGTTCGAATCGCGCGTTCAGCAGTTCCATTGGCTTGATGTGCGTATGGCACCGTGGTTTGTTGCTCGATGCCTTCGACTTCGTAGAAATCTTGAAGCGAGTTCGTCGCAAACTCGCGGGCTCCATCGTGTCGCACAAATTTGACCTTCTTGTTGAACTGCGTCTGTATCATCGTGATGTACTTCTTGATGCACTCTTCGCTCTCTGACTTGGAATGCAGACAAAAACCCTTCATGCATCCGCTGGCTTCATCCACGATCAGCAGCAGATACTTGCTGCCACCCAGAGATTTTTCTTCCATGGGTCCGCAGATGTCGAAGTGGAGCATCTCGAAGGTGTTGTAGGTGCGCTTGTCACGGTTGCTCGGGAATGGTTTTTGGACCATCTTCCCTTCTTGGCATCCTCGACACACACTTGATCCATTCGGCTTGGAAGGGATGTGGGCGTCCTTGATCATGTGGCTTGTCACCATCCTGCGAAGCACGTCGACTGGAGCATGGCCCATTCGCGCATGTAGATCAACAGCGTTGCTGAGTGATGTCGCATTGGCCGATCGCTGCGTCGTGCGAAGCCAGTAGAGTCCGTCTACAAGATCCGCAGCTGCCACCACTTGATTGGAATCCTTGCGAGCGACGTACATCGTATCCCCGTCAAACACCACTTGGAAGTTGCCGTGCTTGTTAATCTGCGGCACCGAGAGCAGATTTTTGCTCATGCTGGGCACATAGAGCGCGTTCTTGATCTCGATCTCGCGCTCTTCCCCGTTTGGCAGAATCACCTTTTCCACGATGGTCCCCACACCTTTGATGGCCGCCTTGTTGCCATCAGCCACCAGGATCTCGCCATCATTGCCTTCGACCAAGCTTGCAAACTTGAACTTGTCGTGGCAGATGTGATGTGTTGCCCCGCTGTCAACGGCCCACATTCCTGGTCCATTCTTGTTCGTCGAAACTCCGCATTCGAACGAAACTGCAAACGCCACTCGATCGTAGCTGTTGCCTTCATCATAATGTCGCCACTGGACATTGTTTGCCCCGCGTCCACGACCATTGCCGCCGCGTTGGGCTCCTCGACTTTCATCCTTTTGCTTCGTCCAGCAACGCTCTGCCGTGTGCCCCACCTTGCCGCAGTATGTGCATTGGTAGGGCTTGCGCTCGGTACTGAATGCCTTTGTCGCATCTTCAGTCTTCAACGTTGTCGTTGCCGTTGTCATCTTCTCGCCTTGTCGCTTGATGTGCTCGTTAGTCAGCACCTTGACCACATCTTGCGTGCGCAGCTCTGCATTGCTCATCTCCAAGTTCAGAACCACGTTCTCGAAACTCTTCGGGAGACTGAGCAGCAAGCAGATCGCAATGTCTTCGTCTTCCATCTTGGCACCGATGCTGCTGAGCTTGGCGCCGATGTTCAAGACTTCGTTGCAATGGTGCAAGACGTTGGCACCTTCCGCCATCTTGATGCTGAACAGCTGGCGCTTGAGGTAGATGCGTCCCGCCTTCTGCGACCCACCATAGAGCATCTTCAACCGCGACCACGCTGTCCATGCTTCTTCACAGTTGTCGACCACATGGTGGTGGTCGGCGTCCATGTGGAGCAACATCAACCCGAACGCGATGTTGCTCGCCTTGACGTACTCGTCGGAAGCTCGCGTGTCGGTGAAGGTTGGAGACGTTTCGCGGTTCACGACGTACCAGACTGACTTCGTCAGAAACACGCCGCGCATGTAGCGACACCAGGTTGAGTAGTTGTCCCCATCGAACTTATCGATGGAGACACTGGCCGAGGTGTTGTTGGACGACATGGCGCTTGGGCTCATAACCTGTTGTAACTTGAGCGCGAGGCGAAGAGAAAACGAAGCGGAGAGACCGGAGAGAACGAAGCAGAGAACACTTGCTCACTTGAGGGAGGATTCGAAAGTGATTGATTTATAGGTCTTAACTTCTGCCTACCCTAGACTGCATCCAATCACATGGTGCATCTAATCAACCTGATTTACACGCGTCCAATCATCCTACCCGTCTAATCATCTCTGAGGTAATTACCGATGTAAAAACTATCTCGTAAGAACTACGCGCTAGGTTCGGATTGTACCGGTAACCCTCAATAATGGTAGCTGATAGCAGTACCTCAACCGTCAACCCACAATAATTTTCATCACATTAAGCCGATACAGGTACTGTAAAGGATCTTCCTCCGATCGTTTCTTTGCGTGGTAGTACTGCCTGCTCGCGGACATCCCGTGTCCTGCATACTCCACAAGAAAACTGTTCATCAATTCTTTCCAATTGAATCTCGTCGATCTACTCAGCTGTCGGTACCAGTAGCGGGCTGGGCCCACCATGAGATCACCGAAGACCAGACATCTCTCCTCGTCCGGTGCTTGGTCCCGGATAAACGCTGATTTCACTTTGCCGATCCAGGTCCGTGCTTTGTCTTCTTCCCGATCCTTCCCTGAGAATTCTTTCAGCTCAGAAATCGCTGAGATTCTGATCCTCTGCGTGATGCTTCCCCCTCCGGTAGTCGCACCGGTCGCGGCTACATGAGGGCGCCGTGGTTCGGGCATCCATAGATCATCCGGGTCGTATTCCGCCCCCTCATGGATATGTTGGTAAATGTCCGACCCCACCGACTCCATCTCCACATCCGGCATGTCAAGGCTTTCGTGTGAAGGTTTGAGCAAAGTACGTCGATCTGGGTAGCGGTTTGGCTGTCGATTCATTCGCTGAGCTGTACGTTGATCCGCCTCGTACTTCTTCATGGCTGAATTGAAGTACCGACTTAGATCGCCCTCTTCTTGATCCTCCAGCCCAGTGCGGGTACTGGCCGATCTCTGCGGCATGTTGCTCTTGGCTTGTCCCTTACAGGCGTCGATCTTGGCTTGTCCGATCTTGTCCTTTAAGAACCTTCCACCCGATGGTCCTAGAGACATCTGACGAATGCTGATGGATCCATCTGACTCGCTCTCGGAGTCATCCGAGGCGTAGTGGGGCGATCCCGCGGGCTGTTTACGGAGCGAGCCCGAGGGCGTCCCGATCTTGTCTTCAGGAGTATTCGCTTTGCCCACCAGCATTATCATGATCTCTACAAACTCATTCGCCGCGTCCTTCAACTGTTCCAAGCTGCAACTCAGCAGTTCATCTCCATCAAAAGCGTCGGGGCAGATACCCATGTCGTCCAACATCTGCAAAATCAAATTGATCTCGTCGACTTTGTTGGTCCCGTGAAGTGGGACCGAGATCGGCTTATCCAGAGGACCAATCACCTTGGGCCTTAATATCTTGAACACTGGTTCTGTCTTGAGCAGCGTCTTCAACTGGCCATAATAGTACTGCCATTTTGCACGCTCCCGCGCTTCACCCGTCGTCTCCTTCTCCCTGGACGCGATCTTTATTGGGTTATATTCCGTCTTTGGCATCGCGATCTTTTCTGGTGTTTCATCGTATTCCTCTTTGGCTCCGATCTTTGATTGCACGGTTCGGCCGATCTGGCGATCTGTGACATCTGATCCCATCGATCTCGTCGCGGATCGTTCTGATGTGGTCGATCTCGCGATTGTGCTCTTCGGCTTGAGGTCGGGCGATCTATCGACTAAGATATAGGGTTTGGCTTTCGCCGATTTGGTTTTCACCATTGGATTTTCATCCAGCAGATCGCTCTTTGCAGAGCGATCTGCGGTGGCCCCCGAAGGGACCCTAGGAGGGAATTGAGGTTTATCTTCCAGATCGATCTCTCGATCTTCCTCTTTCATTTTCATTTCATCAGAGCCCCTCCCAAAACTCTGATGATCTGAGGATCTTGTGCTTCTGCGTGTCTGCGTCGATCCCTTTGTCGCTGACACTTCAATCCCAGGTTCTTGCTTAATCTTGACATCTTCGCCAGTGGACTCACGGTGAAATCCAGAGGCCTCAGAAGATCCGGGCACGCGCACCATTGTGGTGAAGTCGATCTCACAAAATTGCTTGTATGAGTGTCGATCTTCCACTTGCCCAGACTTGCCGACTCACGGAGGGGGTACTCCGATCCGTGCCTTGTTGTATGACCTTGTGCTCACCTTGTGTACCCGTCGGTTGGGCTGGCTTGAGCTCTTCGTAACGGCCTTGGGAGATGTCGATCTCGCTGAGAGGTTGGGTTGAGGGTTCGCTTCCGGTGCGGAAATCTTCACACCACGAACGGGGGTTCTGCGATCCCGATCTTGGATCGCACCGATCTTGATTTGTCTTCGAGATCGGGGTCTTTGCTGTGCGGAAATCTTCACTCAGCAAATAAAAGTCCTGCGTCGATCTTGCCTTGGGATCGGTCCGATCTGGTCTTGGGATCGGCCGATCTTGCCGGAAGTGCGCAATTTGGGTAGATCGGTGTCTTGTTTCGCCAAAATGAAACGTGCCGATCTGTCCAGGGGATCGCTTCGATCCTGCTCGGTCTTGTCTTGAACGTCTTGTCCAGATCTTCTGACCACTTGAGCCGTCTCGCGATCCTGTGTCCAAAATCCTTTTCCTTTTCCGTTGTGTGCTGCTACCCTAGCAGTTGAGTTGAGTGTGAGTACTTGATCGATCCGGGCCAGATATCCCGGGATCGCTCTTCTCGATCTTGGCCAACAATCCAAGATCGGTCTTCTGTGTCCCTGTAACACGCGTGCCTTAACCCGCCGGGGAAGCCAAATCAATCTTGCCTGGAGAAGAGGGGAGGATAACGTGCGTCGTGAGCAGAAGAAGTAGAGTTCAAGTCTGTTTATTAACCAACCAAATTACTATCCAACCTACCCTTAAGCCTATTCTTAACTATAGGTCACTCTTCAAACCGATATCGCCTTGAATCTGGATCGCCCCCTTGCCACGTGTCGAAATTTCGTGCCCTGTACTCCAATGATAGCGCCAATATCCCCGATATCGTACCTAGAGAACCCAATGGACCAAAATCTCCTATATGGTACCAAATACCCATTCTTGGCACCCAAGTACCCAATGTATGACCCAAAATGCCGAATGTGTCCAAATTCACTTTGCGCCGTCAATTCGGACAGCTTCCACTGGCTCTTTCGGTATGAAACTTCTTGACATCACTTAGTGACCTCTATCAAGTATATTCCACATGATCCAGTATCTTCATCAACCATACATTCATGATCAGTGTGGAACATGACCGATCTGTCATCCAATATCGAGATGTTGGAGGTCGATCCGGTCTAAATCGGCAATTAACACTTTTTCATCTCCTCATACGTGCTTCAATATCATCCTCCAGTGTTATCCAATCGACAACTTCATTCATACGTCTCGACATCGGTTTCCTTGACTCCCCTGAGTATGCAAAACTTCCAGATCGGTGTATAATTAACCAAAATCAGTACTCCCAATTTAGGATCGGTAAAGAGTATCACCGATCCGTATGGTGTTGCACCTTCTTTGCCGATTCACCGACCCGTACCACCTGGTCCCAGATGCACTTTGGGGAGTCACCTTGTCCCAGATGTGTCAATTCTCCAACAAACCGTTGCCACAACATGTCGATCTGCGATCTGATCTTAGCCTGCTTCAATGTACGTATACTTCTTCTTGACCGGCATTCCAATGAGCTGTATGACTTCATCCCGATGTCTGGTTCCAGATCGCCCCATAACATTCTGCAAGATGTTACACCTTCGTCGCAGAGTCATATCCCATCACCCGGTCCCAGATCCTTGTCCCAGATTGCTCCATGTAAATCGTTCCAGATCGCTCCGTCCCAGGTCGATCCATACCCATTAGTCTAACGACAGTTGGATCGGTTCGCCGATCCCGTTAAGATCATCTTCCACCTCCGTATTGGATCGCCGAGTCTCATGGCCTCCTTTGTTGAAAAGACAGCGGCTGTGAAGAAGACACCTCGTCAAGCTGCGTCAAGTGTTGAAGCAAGTGGAAGACCAAGCTTCGCTATACCGGTGGGTACCGGTATGTACCAGTAAGGGCGAAGTCAGGAAATGACGTCACTGGATGACGTCATTGCATGACGTCAGTGGGTGACGTCAGTGGGTGACGTCACTGGATGACGTCACTGCGAATAATAGGCTTAGAGGTAGTATTCAAAGTTGCGAACTAAGTACCTATTATAAATATATATTCACTTTGCGTTTTGCACTCGGACCAAGAAGTCTAAAGTTCATCAGGTTATGAGCCCAAGTTCGTCAGACTCTGAAACCGCCAACAATTCAAGCTTAACTGCCATGGACGCCTCCTCCCTCCGCATCTCCAAGTTCGATGGAACTAACTTCCACGCCTGGAAGTTCAAGATGCAGATGGTGCTGGAGGAACGGGACCTATGGGAGGTCGTCAGCGGTGAGATCAAGGCGGAACAGTGCGAGACTCAGTTGGACCAAGCGACGTACAAGAGGAAGTCAAGAAAGGCGATGGCAGTGATCTGTCTAGCCATGGAAGATTCCCAGCTACCGTTGGTCCGGTCGGCAAGTGGTGCATGCGACGCATGGTCAAGGTTAGAAGACCACTTCGAGAAGAAGAGTCTTGCCAACAAGCTGTTCTTGCGCCGTCGCTTCTTCACGACAATGATGGAAGAAGGCGACGATGTGCTCGAACACATCAACAAGCTCAAGACGCTGGCGGAACAGCTAGAAGCGGTGGGGGCTCCAGTCTGCGAGGACGATCTGGTGATCACACTCCTCGGCAGCCTGAGTGACTCGTATCAATTCTTGATCACAGCTTTGGAGTCGCGCTCAGACACTCTTAGCTGGGAGCTCGTGACGTCTCGACTGCTTCATGAAGAAATGAAGCGGAAGGAGCAAGGAAGTAAAGGTGATGAAGCTTCGCAAGGTCAAGCGTTCATCACAAGGGACAATCAGCGCAAAGGGCGACCAGTGAAGAAGTCCTGGCCGTGCCACAATTGCGGAAAGATTGGTCACTGGATGGCGGAGTGCCCCTCGCGCATCCAAGAAAACACGGAGAGACACCGGCCACAGCGTGCTCAAGACAGCGGCGACCGCTATCGATCACAACGTGCAAACGTCGCTCAAGAAGAAGACTCGGGCGACTACCTCTTTTCGATCGGTGAAACGACATCTGCGAAATCGAGCGACATCTGGCTGGTCGACTCCGGGGCGACGCAGCACATGACGTGCTCCAAGAAGTTCATGCGGAACTACAAGGGGTTTGACGCTGTGGATGTCCATCTCGCGGATGATGGAATCGTCCAAGCAATCGGCAGTGGGGACATTGTCATGTCGATGAAGACACCCCAAGGGATGAAGAAAGGTGTGCTCACAAACGTGTGGCACATCCCAAAGTTATCCAGAAACCTGTTCTCGGTCGGCCGCTTCACCAAGGATGTCGGCCCAGTGACGTTCACGAAGGATGGGTGCTATGGAGAAGCGAAAGGGACCAAGTGGAAAATTGGTGCCCGTGAAGGTAAAGGACTGTTCAAGCTGCAAATGACTCCAGTGGCGCCGGAACAAGCAAATGCAGCCAAGTCGTCGGGATGTCAAGGGGGCACCAAGTCGTACCTCTGGCACCTTCGGCTTGGCCACATAGGTCACGATGGACTCAATTGCATCGTGACGAAGAACATTGGAATTGGCATCGACATATCTTCGGTGAAGAAGTGGGACGTGTGTGAAGGTTGTGCTCTGGGAAAACAGACTCGAGTGCGCTTCCAATCAAACACTACAGCTCGCACCTCCAAACTCCTCGAAGTGATTCACAGCGACGTATGCGGACCGATGTCGATGGCAACTTTCAGTGGAAAACGGTACTTCGTGACATTCATTGATGACAAGTCAAGATACTGTGTCGTCTATCTGCTCAAGAGCAAATCTGAAGTTGCGGCGAAGTTCATGGAATACGCTGCGATGGCCGAAACGCAAACCGGAAAGCGCGTGAAGTACCTTCAAAGCGACAATGGGGGGTGAATACAAGTCCGACAAGCTGGCACGATTCTGCGCGGAACGGGGAATACAACAAAGGTTCACACCCCCATATACTCCTCAGCTAAACGGAGTAGCTGAGAGAATGAATCGCACGCTGGTCGAGTGTGCGCGTTGCATGATGGAACACGCTGGACTGGGAAAGAGCTACTGGGGTGAAGCAGTGATGACGGCGATGTTTCTTCGAAACCGCTGTCCAACACGTGTCATTCACCAAGACAAGTCTCCATATCAAGTGTGGACGATGAAGAAACCGATTCTGGCCAACCTTAAAGTGTTTGGATGCCACGCGTATGTTCAAGTGCCTCAAGACAAACGCGCGAAGTTCGACTCCAAGTCATCACTCTGTCGTTTCCTGGGATACGCCGAACACCAGAAGTCATATCGATTTGAGGAAGTGTCAACAGGAGCGATCAAGATCAGTCGCGATGCCACATTCATGGAAGACAAGTTTGATGAAGGTCCGCGCAACTACAACGATGAGTCAAGTGTCGTTGAGTTTGATGATCATGACGAGGACGAAGAAAAAGAAGAAGGTAAAACTGACGACGACATGGACTCGAGCGACGATGACAACGAAGACACCAGGTCTTCGAAGAGCAACATCAAGAGACACACGCGCACTCAATCACTTGAGAAAGCTACCGTCATTCCAAGTCCCAAGCGAAGAACATACAGAGGTCCGTCGCTTGAGCATGTGTCAGCGGCTGCAATGGATTTTGAAGCAGCCTGCATCGTTGATTCAGTGGGGGAAACGCCGACTACATTCAAGTCGGCGATGGAATCAAGCGACTCCGGCAAGTGGAAAGAAGCGTGTGACTCGGAGTTCGATTCGCTTCAGAGAAACGACACGTGGGAAATCGTGCCTCTTCCGAAAGGTCGCAAGGCCATCGGGTGCCGATGGGTTTTTCGTGTAAAGGAGAATCAAGATGGCGAAGTTGAACGTTTCAAGGCAAGACTTGTGGCCAAAGGATTCTCACAGAAATTCGGAGCTGACTATGAAGAAACTTTCGCACCGGTGGCCAAGTTCACATCGATTCGTGTGGTGCTCAGTATGGCCGCTAAGTACGGCCTAATGCTACATCAGATGGACGTCAAGACAGCGTTTCTTAACGGCTCCCTCAACGAAGACATCTACATGGACCAGCCGGACGGATACCTGGATGCAACACAGCCGGACTATGTGTGCAAGCTAAAGAGATCACTCTACGGCTTGAAGCAATCGCCTCGCATGTGGAACCAAACAATCGATGGGTTCATGATCAAGATGGGATTCAAGAAGTGCGAATCGGACCACTGCATCTACATCAAGCGAGACGACCAAGACATGATTCTCGTGGTGCTCTACGTCGATGATCTCATCCTGGCCAGCAGCAACAACGAACTCCTCAAGTCAACCAAGATGGCGCTGAGCAAACGCTTCGAAATGACGGATCTCGGTGAGCTCGATTACTTTCTCGGCATGGAGATCAAGAACGACCGTAAGACGGGAATGGTGACTGTACAACAAACCAAGTTTCTCAAGTCCGTGTTAACAAAGTTCGGAATGGATAACAGCAAGCCAGTGAAGACGCCTCAAGATCCCGGCCTGAAGTTAACCAAGAACATGTGTGAACAAGAATGCAAGCACGAAGACACCATGTGCAACGTGCCATATCGAAGTGCTGTCGGAGGCATCATGTATCTCATGGTCGCCACACGTCCGGATCTAGCTGCTGCAGTGGGATCATTATCCCAGTTCTCGTCCGACCCATGCCCGACTCACTGGCAAGCTTTGAAGCGTGTGCTGAGATACCTGCAAGCAACGCCCAATCATGGTCTTGAGTTTACACGTGAAGAAGGAAGCCGTATCTGCGGGTACACCGACGCAGACTGGGCCGGCGACATTGAGTCAAGACGAAGTACAAGCGGCTATGTGTTCATGATGAGCGGAGGATGCATCAGCTGGAAAAGCCAGAAACAACGGACGGTCGCGCTATCTTCAACAGAAGCAGAATACATGGCGCTTTCCGAAGCAACCAAAGAAGCAGTATGGCTCAAGGTGCTTTTGGGGGAACTTGGTGAGATGACAAGCGACGAAGCGATCAAGATGTATGAAGACAACCAAGGATCAATCGCTCTCGCCAAGAACCCGGAGTTCCATAAGAGAACAAAACACATCGACATACGCTACCATTTTGTGCGTGAGAAGGTGGAATCAGGTGAAGTCGTTTTGGAGTATTACCCGACTCAAGATATGCTGGCAGACATGATGACCAAGCCGATCGCCGCTGTACAATTTGAAAACATTCGCGATCGACTTGGGATCCAAGATGCCGCAGCTAACGAGTCGAGAGGGAGTGTTGAAAAGACAGCGGCTGTGAAGAAGACACCTCGTCAAGCTGCGTCAAGTGTTGAAGCAAGTGGAAGACCAAGCTTCGCTATACCGGTGGGTACCGGTATGTACCAGTAAGGGCGAAGTCAGGAAATGACGTCACTGGATGACGTCATTGCATGACGTCAGTGGGTGACGTCAGTGGGTGACGTCACTGGATGACGTCACTGCGAATAATAGGCTTAGAGGTAGTATTCAAAGTTGCGAACTAAGTACCTATTATAAATATATATTCACTTTGCGTTTTGCACTCGGACCAAGAAGTCTAAAGTTCATCATCCTTTTCCACCAGTAAGCGGCGCTTTAAAGGTGTGGCCACCGATCCTCGTGCAAAATTTGAGTAGTGACTTTGCCACACCTTCGAAACTTCTTCGTAGCCCACGAATATGCCAGCGCGAGCCTTTGGATCCCACTTGAGTTGATTCTCTTTAGGCGTCAGTATGTATGTCTGACACCCGAATGTTCGCATGTGCTTGACGCTTGGTTTCAAGTTGTAGACGATCTCAAACGGGGTCTTGTGCACGACTTTAGGTGACGGCAGTCGATTCTTGACGTAGATGGCCGTCATTGCTGCTTCGGCCCAGAAACACTTGTCCAGTTTGGCATGATGAAGCATGCTGCGGCCGATCGTGACAATAGTCCTAATGGCACGCTCTGCTGTTCCGTTTGTTTGATGTGCATACGGCACCGTTGTTTGCTGTTCAATGCCTTCGTCTTCGTAGAACAGTTGAAGCGAGTTGGTTGCAAACTCGCGAGCTCCGTCGTGTCGCACGAACTTGACCTTCTTACAGAATTGCGTCTGTACCATGGTGATATATTTCCGGATGTAGTCTTCACTCTCGGACTTCACTCGTAGACAAAAGCCGTTCATGCATCCACTGGCTTCGTCGATGATCAGCAGCAAATATTTGCTGCCACCGAGCGAATCCTTTTCCATGGGCCCGCAGATGTCCAGATGAAGTAGCTCAAACGTATCGTAGCTGCGCTTTTCTCGGTTGCTTGGAAATGGTTTTTGGACCATTTTCCCTTGTTGACATCCTCGACATGTAGTTGCTCCACCCGACTTGAGAGGGACTCGCACATCCTTGATCATGTTGGTCGCGATCATCTTGCGAAGTACATCGACTGGAGCATGACCCATTCTCGCATGTAGATCGGCACAACTGGTTCCACTTGTTGTCACATTCGCTGATCGTTGAGTCGTCCGAAGCCAGTAGAGTCCATCCACGAGATCCGCTGTCGCCACCACTTGCTGTGAGTTCTTGAGAGTTACATACATCTTGGACCCGTCAAACACGACTTGAAACTTGCCATGGCTGTTAATCTGTGGCACCGAGAGCAGGTTCTTGCTCATACTTGGAACATATAGCGCGTTCTTGATTTCGATCTCACGCTCTTCACCGTTGGGCAGAACCACCTTTTCCATGATGGTTCCCACACCCTTGATGGCCACCTTGTTGCCATCAGCCACCAAGAGTTCGCCCTCATTGCGCTCTGCCAAACTTGCGAACTTGGTCTTGTCGTGGCAAATGTGGTGCGTTGCACCACTGTCGACGGCCCACATTCCAGACACGTCCTTGCTCGTCGAAACTCCACATTCGAACGAGACTGCAAACGCCACTCGATCGTAGCCATTGCCTTCATCATGATGTCCCCACTGGACATTGTTAGCCCCCGCGTCCACGACCATTGCCGCCGCGTCGGGCTCCCCGACCTTCGTTCTTCTGCTTTGTCCAGCAACGATCCACCGTGTGGACCACCTTGCCACAATACGTGCATTGGTAGGGCTCACGCTCGGCGCTGAATGCCTTGCTTGCATCTTCAGCCTTCACCGTAGTCGCTGTCGTTGTCCCTTTTTCTCCTTGACGCTTGGCATGCTCATTCGTCAGGACTCTCACCACATCTTGAGTGCGAAGCTCGGTGCTGCTCATTTCCATGTTGAGCACCACATTTTCGTAGCTCTTCGGAAGACTGAGTAGCAGACAAATTGCAACGTCTTCGTCTTCCATCTTCGCACCGATGCCGCTAAGCTTGGCGGAGATGTTGAGGACTGTTGAGGGGTGAAAAGCTTGACGACCGAAACTGGGAGTGATGCTGGGAGTCCACTCGGAAGACCGGAGAAGACACTTGGGGGTAGATGGAAGATTGGAAAGTGATTGATTATCGGGGCTTACTACTTACTACATGATTTATATGTGGTGCACATATAAATCATGTGAAGCGTCTCATCATCCTACGCGTCTAATCAACTATGGTAATTACCGTAAGAACTACGTCGTAAATACTAAGCTGAACAGGCGGTTCGGATTGGACCGGTCACGGTTACCAATACTGGTAGAAACCGATGACCGTCAACACGCCCCCTTAATCCGAACTCGCACGAATGCCGAGAGCCGTCGTCAAGTCCTTGTGACGAGGTCCCGAAAGTCCCTTGGTCATGATGTCCGCCATCATCACGGAAGTTTCGCAATACTCGAGCTGCACTTCACCGCGCTTGACCTCATCACGGATGTGATGGTACTTGATGTCGATGTGCTTGGCGCGGCCATGATTCACCGGATTCTTCGTCATCTTGATGCACGACTGGTTGTCTTCACGGATGACGAGGTCCGGTCCTGGTTCGTTTGCGGCCGCTAAAATCTCGCATAGCAGGCGATGCACCCACTTGCCTTCCTGGATGGCCAGACTCAGTGCTATGTATTCCGCTTCACTCGTCGACAGCGACACACTTGACTGCTTCTTGCTTCCCCAACTCACAGGAGCACCCATCAGCATGAAAGTATAACCCGAAGTCGACTTGCGATCAGCGTGGTCGCCGGCCCAGTCCGCGTCCGAGTAGCCACGAAAGTCGATCTTGTCGCTTGGCTGGAAGCGGAGTCCGTGCGACTTGGTCCCTTGCAAGTAACGAAAGATGCGCTTCACCGCCGTCCAATGTTCTTGCTGCGGATTCTCCATGAAGCGCGAGACGTACCCCACAGCATACCCAATGTCCGGGCGCGTCGCAGTCGTCAAGTGCATCAAAGCTCCCACAGCTTCACGAAACGGAACGTCGATCTTGGCCGCTTCGGTGCTTGCGACAAGCCGAGTGCTCAAGTCGACCGGACTTGCTGTGGCCTTGCACTCATCCATGCCGAAGCGCTTGAGGATGTCGTTGACATACCGTCGCTGGCACATCGTCACGCTGCCATCCGATTCGTCCACCAGTTCGATGCCCAGTACAAAAGTACACTTGCCACTGTCGGTCATCTCGAAACGCGTCTTGAGGTCGGCCTTCGTCTGCGCAATCAACTCGAGCGAGCTGCCGGTGACCAACACGTCATCCACGTAGACCAGCACGAGCACACAGTGACCGTCGACAACCTTGATGTAGAGACATGGGTCGAACGCCGACGCTTCGAAACCGATAGAGCATACAAACTCGTCGAAAGTCTCGTTCCACACACGTGAAGCTTGCTTGAGACCGTAGATCGCCTTCACCAACTCGAGACAGTCGAAGTCGCCATCCATCTCGACGCCTTCTGGTATCACGCAGTACACCTTCTCCTTCATCACTCCGTAGAGAAAGGCTGTCACCACATCGAGTTGGTCCAGTGGCCAGTCGAAATACTTGGTGATCGCGATCACCATACGCAGTGTCACGTACTTGACCACGGGCGAGAACGTCTCTGTGTAGTCGATGCCGTACTTCTGCTTGAAGCCCTTGGCAACGAGACGCGCCTTGTATTTCTCGACCGATCCATCCGCTTTGCGCTTGATCTTGAACACCCACTTGGTGCCGATCGCGCCTTGGCCTCTTGGTAGTTTTGCCGCACGGAAAACTCCACGAAGATGCATCGACTTGAGTTCCGCCTTCACAGCATTTCGCTAGTGAGCTTGATCAGGACCATTGATCGCGTCTTGAAAAGTCACAGGTTCTGCTAGGTCCGTTGCTTCCACTGCGTTTGCACTTGCACGCCAAAATGTTGGAGGCGTCGAGTCGTCATCTTGATCGTAGACGCTTGCATCTTCTTCGTCATCAGACATCGTTTCTGGAGCACTTGATCGTCGTTTCTGGTGACGGTTGGAGATGTTGAAAAGACAGCGGCTGTGAAGAAGACACCTCGTCAAGCTGCGTCAAGTGTTGAAGCAAGTGGAAGACCAAGCTTCGCTATACCGGTGGGTACCGGTATGTACCAGTAAGGGCGAAGTCAGGAAATGACGTCACTGGATGACGTTATTGCATGACGTCAGTGGGTGACGTCAGTGGGTGACGTCACTGGATGACGTCACTGCGAATAATAGGCTTAGAGGTAGTATTCAAAGTTGCGAACTAAGTACCTATTATAAATATATATTCACTTTGCGTTTTGCACTCGGACCAAGAAGTCTAAAGTTCATCAGGTTATGAGCCCAAGTTCGTCAGACTCTGAAACCGCCAACAATTCAAGCTTAGCTGCCATGGACGCCTCCTCCCTCCGCATCTCCAAGTTCGATGGAACTAACTTCCACGCCTGGAAGTTCAAGATGCAGATGGTGCTGGAGGAACGGGACCTATGGGAGGTCGTCAGCGGTGAGATCAAGGCGGAACAGTGCGAGACTCAGTTGGACCAAGCGACGTACAAGAGGAAGTCAAGAAAGGCGATGGCAGTGATCTGTCTAGCCATGGAAGATTCCCAGCTACCGTTGGTCCGGTCGGCAAGTGGTGCATGCGACGCATGGTCAAGGTTGGAAGACCACTTCGAGAAGAAGAGTCTTGCCAACAAGCTGTTCTTGCGCCGTCGCTTCTTCACGACAATGATGGAAGAAGGCGACGATGTGCTCGAACACATCAACAAGCTCAAGACGCTGGCGGAACAGCTAGAAGCGGTGGGGGCTCCAGTCTGCGAGGACGATCTGGTGATCACACTCCTCGGCAGCCTGAGTGACTCGTATCAATTCTTGATCACAGCTTTGGAGTCGCGCTCAGACACTCTTAGCTGGGAGCTCGTGACGTCTCGACTGCTTCATGAAGAAATGAAGCGGAAGGAGCAAGGAAGTAAAGGTGATGAAGCTTCGCAAGGTCAAGCGTTCATCACAAGGGACAATCAGCGCAAAGGGCGACCAGTGAAGAAGTCCTGGCCGTGCCACAATTGCGGAAAGATTGGTCACTGGATGGCGGAGTGTCCCTCGCGCATCCAAGAAAACACGGAGAGACACCGGCCACAGCGTGCTCAAGACAGCGGCGACCGCTATCGATCACAACGTGCAAACGTCGCTCAAGAAGAAGACTCGGGCGACTACCTCTTTTCGATCGGTGAAACGACATCTGCGAAATCGAGCGACATCCGGCTGGTCGACTCCGGGGCGACGCAGCACATGACGTGCTCCAAGAAGTTCATGCGGAACTACAAGGGGTTTGACGCTGTGGATGTCCATCTCGCGGATGATGGAATCGTCCAAGCAATCGGCAGTGGGGACATTGTCATGTCGATGAAGACACCCCAAGGGATGAAGAAAGGTGTGCTCACAAACGTGTGGCACATCCCAAAGTTATCCAGAAACCTGTTCTCGGTCGGCCGCTTCACCAAGGATGTCGGCCCAGTGACGTTCACGAAGGATGGGTGCTATGGAGAAGCGAAAGGGACCAAGTGGAAAATTGGTGCCCGTGAAGGTAAAGAACTGTTCAAGCTGCAAATGACTCCAGTGGCGCCGGAACAAGCAAATGCAGCCAAGTCGTCGGGATGTCAAGGGGGCACCAAGTCGTACCTCTGGCACCTTCGGCTTGGCCACATAGGTCATGATGGACTCAATTGCATCGTGACGAAGAACATTGGAATTGGCATCGACATATCTTCGGTGAAGAAGTGGGACGTGTGTGAAGGTTGTGCTCTGGGAAAACAGACTCGAGTGCGCTTCCAATCAAACACTACAGCTCGCACCTCCAAACTCCTCGAAGTGATTCACAGCGACGTATGCGGACCGATGTCGATGGCAACTTTCAGTGGAAAACGGTACTTCGTGACATTCATTGATGACAAGTCAAGATACTGTGTCGTCTATCTGCTCAAGAGCAAATCTGAAGTTGCGGCGAAGTTCATGGAATACGCTGCGATGGCCGAAACGCAAACCGGAAAGCGCGTGAAGTACCTTCAAAGCGACAATGGGGGTGAATACAAGTCCGACAAGCTGGCACGATTCTGCGCGGAACGGGGAATACAACAAAGGTTCACACCCCCATATACTCCTCAGCTAAACGGAGTAGCTGAGAGAATGAATCGCACGCTGGTCGAGTGTGCGCGTTACATGATGGAACACGCTGGACTGGGAAAGAGCTACTGGGGTGAAGCAGTGATGACGGCGATGTTTCTTCGAAACCGCTGTCCAACACGTGCCATTCACCAAGACAAGTCTCCATATCAAGTGTGGACGATGAAGAAACCGATTCTGGCCAACCTTAAAGTGTTTGGATGCCACGCGTATGTTCAAGTGCCTCAAGACAAACGCGCGAAGTTCGACTCCAAGTCATCACTCTGTCGTTTCCTGGGATACGCCGAACACCAGAAGTCATATCGATTTGAGGAAGTGTCAACAGGAGCGATCAAGATCAGTCGCGATGCCACATTCATGGAAGACAAGTTTGATGAAGGTCCGCGCAACTACAACGATGAGTCAAGTGTCGTTGAGTTTGATGATCATGATGAGGACGAAGAAAAAGAAGAAGGTAAAACTGACGACGACATGGACTCGAGCGACGATGACAACGAAGACACCAGGTCTTCGAAGAGCAACATCAAGAGACACACGCGCACTCAATCACTTGAGAAAGCTACCGTCATTCCAAGTCCCAAGCGAAGAACATACAGAGGTCCGTCGCTTGAGCATGTGTCAGCGGCTGCAATGGATTTTGAAGCAGCCTACATCGTTGATTCAGTGGGGAAACGCCGACTACATTCAAGTCGGCGATGGAATCAAGCGACTCCGGCAAGTGGAAAGAAGCGTGTGACTCGGAGTTCGATTCGCTTCAGAGAAACGACACGTGGGAAATCGTGCCTCTTCCGAAAGGTCGCAAGGCCATCGGGTGCCGATGGGTTTTTCGTGTAAAGGAGAATCAAGATGGCGAAGTTGAACGTTTCAAGGCAAGACTTGTGGCCAAAGGATTCTCACAGAAATTCGGAGTTGACTATGAAGAAACTTTCGCACCGGTGGCCAAGTTCACATCGATTCGTGTGGTGCTCAGTATGGCCGCTAAGTACGGCCTAATGCTACATCAGATGGACGTCAAGACAGCGTTTCTTAACGGCTCCCTCAACGAAGACATCTACATGGACCAGCCGGACGGATACCTGGATGCAACACAGCCGGACTATGTGTGCAAGCTAAAGAGATCACTCTACGGCTTGAAGCAATCGCCTCGCATGTGGAACCAAACAATCGATGGGTTCATGATCAAGATGGGATTCAAGAAGTGCGAATCGGACCACTGCATCTACATCAAGCGAGACGACCAAGACATGATTCTCGTGGTGCTCTACGTCGATGATCTCATCCTGGCCAGCAGCAACAACGAACTCCTCAAGTCAACCAAGATGGCGCTGAGCAAACGCTTCGAAATGACGGATCTCGGTGAGCTCGATTACTTTCTCGGCATGGAGATCAAGAACGACCGTAAGACGGGAATGGTGACTGTACAACAAACCAAGTTTCTCAAGTCCGTGTTAACCAAGTTCGGAATGGATAACAGCAAGCCAGTGAAGACGCCTCAAGATCCCGGCCTGAAGCTAACCAAGAACATGTGTGAACAAGAATGCAAGCACGAAGACACCATGTGCAACGTGCCATATCGAAGTGCTGTCGGAGGCATCATGTATCTCATGGTCGCCACACGTCCGGATCTAGCTGCTGCAGTGGGATCATTATCCCAGTTCTCGTCCGACCCATGCCCGACTCACTGGCAAGCTTTGAAGCGTGTGCTGAGATACCTGCAAGCAACGCCCAATCATGGTCTTGAGTTTACACGTGAAGAAGGAAGCCGTATCTGCGGGTACACCGACGCAGACTGGGCCGGCGACATTGAGTCAAGACGAAGTACAAGCGGCTATGTGTTCATGATGAGCGGAGGATGCATCAGCTGGAAAAGCCAGAAACAACGGACGGTCACGCTATCTTCAACAGAAGCAGAATACATGGCGCTTTCCGAAGCAACCAAAGAAGCAGTATGGCTCAAAGTGCTTTTGGGGGAACTTGGTGAGATGACAAGCGACGAAGCGATCAAGATGTATGAAGACAACCAAGGATCAATCGCTCTCGCCAAGAACCCGGAGTTCCATAAGAGAACAAAACACATCGACATACGCTACCATTTTGTGCGTGAGAAGGTGGAATCAGGTGAAGTCGTTTTGGAGTATTGCCCGACTCAAGATATGCTGGCAGACATGATGACCAAGCCGATCGCCGCTGTACAATTTGAAAACATTCGCGATCGACTTGGGATCCAAGGTGCCGCAGCTAACGAGTCGAGAGGGAGTGTTGAAAAGACAGCGGCTGTGAAGAAGACACCTCGTCAAGCTGCGTCAAGTGTTGAAGCAAGTGGAAGACCAAGCTTCGCTATACCGGTGGGTACCGGTATGTACCAGTAAGGGCGAAGTCAGGAAATGACGTCACTGGATGACGTTATTGCATGACGTCAGTGGGTGACGTCAGTGGGTGACGTCACTGGATGACGTCACTGCGAATAATAGGCTTAGAGGTAGTATTCAAAGTTGCGAACTAAGTACCTATTATAAATATATATTCACTTTGCGTTTTGCACTCGGACCAAGAAGTCTAAAGTTCATCAGGAGACGTGTTCCGGCGCACTTGCTTGTTCCAACCCAGTTCGAGGGCGAGCTGAACGTGACATGCCGGGTCTTGCTTCACTCTTGCGCTTGCCAGTCTGCTTGTAGACAGTTTGACGCACGTCGTCCTCGTTGATCGCCAGGAGGTCGAGGTCCAACTCCGCATCTTCATCATCGTCACTTGGTCGGTCCATCGAAAAGTCAAAAGTCGATTCGTCGAAGGTGATGTCACGACTGATCACCACTTGGTCCGCCTCAATGTCGTACACTCGATAAGCTTTTGACGCTTCTTCGTAGCCCATGAACATCCCTTCACGAGCCTTCGGGTCCCACTTCAATCGCTTCTCCCTTGGTGTCAGGATAAACGTCCAACATTCAAACACGCGCATGTGCTTGACACTTGGTTTCGACTTGTACACAATTTCGAACGGAGTCTTGTGGTCGATCTTGGGTGAAGGCAGGCGGTTCTTGATGTAGATCGCCGTCATTGCCGCTTCAGCCCAGAAACACTTCTCCAGTTTTGCATGATGCAACAAGCTGCGTCCGATCGTGACGATGGTCCTTATCGCGCGTTCTGCGGTGCCGTTGGTCTGGTGTGCATACGGCACCGTGATCTGTTGTTCGATACCATGATCTTCGTAGAAGGTCTTGATGGAGCTGGTCGCAAACTCATGCGCTCCATCGTGCCGAACAAACTTGATCTTCGTGCCGAACTAAGTTTGAATCTTGATGATGTGGTTCTTGATACAGTCTTCACTCTCAGACTTGGACCGCAGACAGAAGCCCTTCATGCAACCGCTAGCTTCTTCAACCACAAGCAGTAAGTATTTGCTGCCGCCGATCGAGACTTGTTCCATTGGCCCGCAGATGTCGAAGTGCAGCAACTCGAACACACCATATTGGCGTTTGTCACGGTTGGTTGGGAATGGTTTTTGGACCATCTTTCCTTGCTGGCAACCGCGACACACACTTGGACCAGTCGAGTTGAGAGGTGCCTTGGCGTCCTTGATCATGCCAGTGGCCACCATCTTGCGCAGAACTTCGAGGGGTGCATGACCCATGCGCGCATGCAAGTCGATGGTCCCATTGCGTGTTGCTGCATTTGCCGATCGTTGAGGAGTCCGCAGCCAGTAAAGTCCATCGACGAGATCCGCTGTTGCCACGACTTGTGTGGAATTCTTGCGCTTCACTTGCATCTTGGATCCATCGAACACGACTTGGAACCTGCCACCCTTGTTGATCTGTGGCACCGAAAGCAGATTCTTGCTCATACTTGGTACGAACAGTGCGTCCTTGATCTCGATGTCGCGTTCGTCACCATTGGGCAGAACCACCCGTTCCATGATGGTTCCCACACCCTTGATCGCAGCCTTGCTGCCATCAGCCACTGATAGTTCGCCTTCCTCTCGCTCATTCAGACTTGCAAACTTGGCCTTGTCGTTGCAGATGTGATGCGTCGCACCGCTGTCGACTGCCCACATCCCTGGCATATTCTTGCCCGTCGAAAGTCCAGCCTCCAGCGAAACCGCGAACGCAACTCGATCGTAGTTGTCGTCGTTGTTGTTGTTGTTGGTTCGCCACTGAACGTTGTTGGCTCCGCGTCCACGAGCATTGTTGCCGCCGCGTCGAGCTCCACCTTGATTTTCGTCCTTCTGCTTGGTCCAGCACCGCTCCGCCGTGTGCCCCAATTTTCCGCAGTATGTACACTGGCGAGGTTCACGCTCGGTACTGAACGCCTTGGCCGCGTCTTCAGTCTTCACCGTAGCCTTCGCACCTTGCCGCTTGACATGCTCGTTCGTGAGCACTTTCACGACGTCCCGCGATCAAAGCTCTGTGCTGTTCATCTCCAAGCTGAGAACCACGTTCTCGAAACTCTTGGGCAGACTGCGCAGTAAGCAGATCGCAACGTCCTCGTCCTCCATCTTGGCGCCGATGCTAGCCAGCTTCGCGCTGATGTTGAGGACTTCGTTGCAATGATGCATCACATTGTCGCCTTCCGCCATCTCCATGCTGAACAGCTGGCGCTTCAAGTAGATGCGTCCAGCCTTCTGCGACCCGCCGTACAGCGTCTTCAAACGCGCCCACGCGACCCACGCCTCTTCACAGTCATCAACCACGTGATGATAATCCGCGCTTATGTGCAGAAGCATCAAGCCGAACGCAATGTTGTTCGTCTTGACGTAGTCGTCACTGGCGCGAGGATCGGCGAAGGTGGGGGTGGTATCCCGGTTCACCACGTGCCACGCCGACTTGGTCAGGAACACGCCACGCATGTAGCGGCTCCACGTCGCGTAGTTGTCGCCGTCGAACTTGTCAATGGAGATCTTGGTGGTGGCATCATGAGCAGAGGACATCGTGCTTGGGCTCATAACCTGTTGAGGGGTGAAAAGCTTGACGACCGAAACTGGGAGTGATGCTGGGAGTCCACTCGGAAGACCGGAGAAGACACTTGGGGGGTAGATAGAAGATTGGAAAGTGATTGATTATCGGGGCTTACTACTTACTACATGATTTATATGTGGTGCACATATAAATCATGTGAAGCGTCTCATCATCCTACGCGTCTAATCAACTATGGTAATTACCGTAAGAACTACGTCGTAAATACTAAGCTGAACAGGCGGTTCGGATTGGACCGGTCACGGCTACCAATACTGGTAGAAACCGATGACCGTCAACACGCCCCCTCAATCCGAATGCTCACGAATCCCGAGAGTCGCCGTCATCTCCTTGTGACGTGGCCCGTGAAGTCCCTTCGTCATGATGTCCGCCATCATCACGGAAGTCTCGCAATACTCGAGCTGCACTTCCCCGCGCTTGACCTCATCACGGATGTGATGGTACTTGATGTCGATGTGCTTGGCGCGGCCATGATTCACCGGATTCTTCGTCATCTTGATGCACGACTGGTTGTCTTCACGGATGACGAGGTCCGGTCTGGTTCGTTTGCGGCCGCCAAAATCTCGCATAGCAGGCGATGCACCGACTTGCCTTCCTGGATGGCCAGACTCAGTGCTATGTATTCCGCTTCACTCGTCGACAGCGACACACTTGACTGCTTCTTGCTTCCCCAACTCACAGGAGCACCCATCAGCATGAAAGTATAACCCGAAGTCGACTTGAGATCAGCGTGGTCGCCGGCCCAGTCCGCGTCCGAGTAGCCACGAAAGTCGATCTTGTCGCTTGGCTGGAAGCGGAGTCCGTGCGACTTGGTCCCTTGCAAGTAACGAAAGATGCGCTTCACCGCCGTCCAATGTTCTTGCTGCGGATTCTCCATGAAGCGCGAGACGTACCCCACAGCATACCCAATGTCCGGGCGCGTCGCAGTCGTCAAGTGCATCAAAGCTCCCACAGCTTCACGAAACGGAACGTCGATCTTGGCCGCTTCGGTGCTTGCGACAAGCCGAGTGCTCAAGTCGACCGGACTTGCTGTGGCCTTGCACTCATCCATGCCGAAGCGCTTGAGGATGTCGTTGACATACCGTCGCTGGCACATCGTCACGCTGCCATCCGATTCGTCCACCAGTTCGATGCCCAGTACAAAAGTACACTTGCCACTGTCGGTCATCTCGAAACGCGTCTTGAGGTCGGCCTTCGTCTGCGCAATCAACTCGAGCGAGCTGCCGGTGACCAACACGTCATCCACGTAGACCAGCACGAGCACACAGTGACCGTCTACAACCTTGATGTAGAGACATGGGTCGAACGCCGACGCTTCGAAACCGATAGAGCATACGAACTCGTCGAAAGTCTCGTTCCACACACGTGAAGCTTGCTTGAGACCGTAGATCGCCTTCACCAACTCGAGACAGTCGAAGTCGCCATCCATCTCGACGCCTTCTGGTATCACGCAGTACACCTTCTCCTTCATCACTCCGTAGAGAAAGGCTGTCACCACATCGAGTTGGTCCAGTGGCCAGTCGAAATACTTGGTGATCGCGATCACCATACGCAGTGTCACGTACTTGACCACGGGCGAGAACGTCTCTGTGTAGTCGATGCCGTACTTCTGCTTGAAGCCCTTGGCAACGAGACGCGCCTTGTATTTCTCGACCGATCCATCCGCTTTGCGCTTGATCTTGAACACCCACTTGGTGCCGATCGCGCCTTGGCCTCTTGGTAGTTTTGCCGCACGGAAAACTCCACGAAGATGCATCGACTTGAGTTCCGCCTTCACAGCATTTCGCCAGTGAGCTTGATCAGGACCATTGATCGCGTCTTGAAAAGTCACAGGTTCTGCTAGGTCCGTTGCTTCCACTGCGTTTGCACTTGCACGCCAAAATGTTGGAGGCGTCGAGTCGTCATCTTGATCGTAGACGCTTGTATTGAGGGTTACCGGTACAATCCGAACCTAGCGCGTAGTTCTTACGAGATAGTTTTTACATCGGTAATTACCTCAGAGATGATTAGACGCGTAGGATGATTGGACGCGTGTAAATCAGGTTGATTAGATGCACCATGTGATTGGATGCAGTCTAGGGTAGGCAGAAGTTAAGACCTATAAATCAATCACTTTCGAATCCTCCCTCAAGTGAGCAAGTGTTCTCTGCTTCGTTCTCTCCGGTCTCTCCGCTTCGTTTTCTCTTCGCCTCGCGCTCAAGTTACAACACTTCGTAGAAGGTCTTGAAGGAGTTGGTCGCAAACTCATGCGCTCCATCGTGCCGAACAAACTTGATCTTCGTGCCGAACTGAGTTTGAATCTTGATGATGTGGTTCTTGATACAGTCTTCACTCTCAGACTTGGACCGCAGACAGAAGCCCTTCATGCAACCGCTAGCTTCGTCAACCACAAGCAGTAAGTATTTGCTGCCGCCGATCGAGACTTGTTCCATTGGCCCGAAGATGTCGAAGTGCAGCAACTCGAACACACCATATTGGCGTTTGTCACGGTTGGTTGGGAATGGTTTTTGGACCATCTTTCCTTGCTGGCAACCGCGACACACACTTGGACTAGTCGAGTTGAGAGGTGCCTTGGCGTCCTTGATCATGCCAGTGGCCACCATCTTGCGCAGAACTTCGAGGGGTGCATGACCCATGCGCGCATGCAAGTCGATGGTCCCATTGCGTGTTGCTGCATTTGCCGATCGTTGAGGAGTCCGCAGCCAGTAAAGTCCATCGACGAGATCCGCTGTTGCCACGACTTGTGTGGAATTCTTGCGCTTCACTTGCATCTTGGATCCATCGAACACGACTTGGAACCTGCCACCCTTGTTGATCTGTGGCACCGAAAGCAGATTCTTGCTCATACTTGGTACGAACAGTGCGTCCTTGATCTCGATGTCGTGTTCGTCACCATTGGGCAGAACCACCCGTTCCATGATGGTTCCCACACCCTTGATCGCAGCCTTGCTGCCATCAGCCACTGATAGTTCGCCTTCCTCTCGCTCATTCAGACTTGCAAACTTGGCCTTGTCGTTGCAGATGTGATGCGTCGCACCGCTGTCGACTGCCCACATCCCTGGCATATTCTTGCCCGTCGAAAGTCCAGCCTCCAGCGAAACCGCGAACGCAACTCGATCGTAGTTGTCGTCGTTGTTGTTGTTGTTGGTTCGCCACTGAACGTTGTTGGCTCCGCGTCCACGAGCATTGTTGCCGCCGCGTCGAGCTCCACCTTGATTTTCGTCCTTCTGCTTGGTCCAGCACCGCTCCGCCGTGTGCCCCAATTTTCCGCAGTATGTACACTGGCGAGGTTCACGCTCGGTACTGAACGCCTTCGCCGCGTCTTCAGTCTTCACCGATGTCGTCTTGTCACCTTGCCTCTTGATGTGCTCATTCGTGAGCACTCTCACGACGTCTCGCGATCGCAGTTCCGCGCTGCTCATCTCCAAGTTGAGAACGACGTTCTCGTAGCTCTTGGGAAGGCTGCGCAACAAGCAGATCGCCACGTCCTCGTCCTCCATCTTGGCGCCGATGCTGCTGAGCTTCGCGCTGATGTTGAGGACTTCGTTGCAATGATGCATCATGTTGAAAAGACAGCGGCTGTGAAGAAGACACCTCGTCAAGCTGCGTCAAGTGTTGAAGCAAGTGGAAGACCAAGCTTCGCTATACCGGTGGGTACCGGTATGTACCAGTAAGGGCGAAGTCAGGAAATGACGTCACTGGATGACGTCATTGCATGACGTCAGTGGGTGACGTCAGTGGGTGACGTCACTGGATGACGTCACTGCGAATAATAGGCTTAGAGGTAGTATTCAAAGTTGCGAACTAAGTACCTATTATAAATATATATTCACTTTGCGTTTTGCACTCGGACCAAGAAGTCTAAAGTTCATCAGGTTATGAGCCCAAGTTCGTCAGACTCTGAAACCGCCAACAATTCAAGCTTAGCTGCCATGGACGCCTCCTCCCTCCGCATCTCCAAGTTCGATGGAACTAACTTCCACGCCTGGAAGTTCAAGATGCAGATGGTGCTGGAGGAACGGGACCTATGGGAGGTCGTCAGCGGTGAGATCAAGGCGGAACAGTGCGAGACTCAGTTGGACCAAGCGACGTACAAGAGGAAGTCAAGAAAGGCGATGGCAGTGATCTGTCTAGCCATGGAAGATTCCCAGCTACCGTTGGTCCGGTCGGCAAGTGGTGCATGCGACGCATGGTCAAGGTTGGAAGACCACTTCGAGAAGAAGAGTCTTGCCAACAAGCTGTTCTTGCGCCGTCGCTTCTTCACGACAATGATGGAAGAAGGCGACGATGTGCTCGAACACATCAACAAGCTCAAGACGCTGGCGGAACAGCTAGAAGCGGTGGGGGCTCCAGTCTGCGAGGACGATCTGGTGATCACACTCCTCGGCAGCCTGAGTGACTCGTATCAATTCTTGATCACAGCTTTGGAGTCGCGCTCAGACACTCTTAGCTGGGAGCTCGTGACGTCTCGACTGCTTCATGAAGAAATGAAGCGGAAGGAGCAAGGAAGTAAAGGTGATGAAGCTTCGCAAGGTCAAGCGTTCATCACAAGGGACAATCAGCGCAAAGGGCGACCAGTGAAGAAGTCCTGGCCGTGCCACAATTGCGGAAAGATTGGTCACTGGATGGCGGAGTGCCCCTCGCGCATCCAAGAAAACACGGAGAGACACCGGCCACAGCGTGCTCAAGACAGCGGCGACCGCTATCGATCACAACGTGCAAACGTCGCTCAAGAAGAAGACTCGGGCGACTACCTCTTTTCGATCGGTGAAACGACATCTGCGAAATCGAGCGACATCTGGCTGGTCGACTCCGGGGCGACGCAGCACATGACGTGCTCTCAAGAAGTTCATGCGGAACTACAAGGGGTTTGACGCTGTGGATGTCCATCTCGCGGATGATGGAATCGTCCAAGCAATCGGCAGTGGGGACATTGTCATGTCGATGAAGACACCCCAAGGGATGAAGAAAGGTGTGCTCACAAACGTGTGGCACATCCCAAAGTTATCCAGAAACCTGTTCTCGGTCGGCCGCTTCACCAAGGATGTCGGCCCAGTGACGTTCACGAAGGATGGGTGCTATGGAGAAGCGAAAGGGACCAAGTGGAAAATTGGTGCCCGTGAAGGTAAAGGACTGTTCAAGCTGCAAATGACTCCAGTGGCGCCGGAACAAGCAAATGCAGCCAAGTCGTCGGGATGTCAAGGGGGCACCAAGTCGTACCTCTGGCACCTTCGGCTTGGCCACATAGGTCACGATGGACTCAATTGCATCGTGACGAAGAACATTGGAATTGGCATCGACATATCTTCGGTGAAGAAGTGGGACGTGTGTGAAGGTTGTGCTCTGGGAAAACAGACTCGAGTGCGCTTCCAATCAAACACTACAGCTCGCACCTCCAAACTCCTCGAAGTGATTCACAGCGACGTATGCGGACCGATGTCGATGGCAACTTTCAGTGGAAAACGGTACTTCGTGACATTCATTGATGACAAGTCAAGATACTGTGTCGTCTATCTGCTCAAGAGCAAATCTGAAGTTGCGGCGAAGTTCATGGAATACGCTGCGATGGCCGAAACGCAAACCGGAAAGCGCGTGAAGTACCTTCAAAGCGACAATGGGGGTGAATACAAGTCCGACAAGCTGGCACGATTCTGCGCGGAACGGGGAATACAACAAAGGTTCACACCCCCATATACTCCTCAGCTAAACGGAGTAGCTGAGAGAATGAATCGCACGCTGGTCGAGTGTGCGCGTTGCATGATGGAACACGCTGGACTGGGAAAGAGCTACTGGGGTGAAGCAGTGGTGACGGCGATGTTTCTTCGAAACCGCTGTCCAACACGTGCCATTCACCAAGACAAGTCTCCATATCAAGTGTGGACGATGAAGAAACCGATTCTGGCCAACCTTAAAGTGTTTGGATGCCACGCGTATGTTCAAGTGCCTCAAGACAAACGCGCGAAGTTCGACTCCAAGTCATCACTCTGTCGTTTCCTGGGATACGCCGAACACCAGAAGTCATATCGATTTGAGGAAGTGTCAACAGGAGCGATCAAGATCAGTCGCGATGCCACATTCATGGAAGACAAGTTTGATGAAGGTCCGCGCAACTACAACGATGAGTCAAGTGTCGTTGAGTTTGATGATGTTGAAAAGACAGCGGCTGTGAAGAAGACACCTCGTCAAGCTGCGTCAAGTGTTGAAGCAAGTGGAAGACCAAGCTTCGCTATACCGGTGGGTACCGGTATGTACCAGTAAGGGCGAAGTCAGGAAATGACGTCACTGGATGACGTCATTGCATGACGTCAGTGGGTGACGTCACTGGATGACGTCACTGCGAATAATAGGCTTAGAGGTAGTATTCAAAGTTGCGAACTAAGTACCTATTATAAATATATATTCACTTTGCGTTTTGCACTCGGACCAAGAAGTCTAAAGTTCATCAGGTTATGAGCCCAAGTTCGTCAGACTCTGAAACCGCCAACAATTCAAGCTTAGCTGCCATGGACGCCTCCTCCCTCCGCATCTCCAAGTTCGATGGAACTAACTTCCACGCCTGGAAGTTCAAGATGCAGATGGTGCTGGAGGAACGGGACCTATGGGAGGTCGTCAGCGGTGAGATCAAGGCGGAACAGTGCGAGACTCAGTTGGACCAAGCGACGTACAAGAGGAAGTCAAGAAAGGCGATGGCAGTGATCTGTCTAGCCATGGAAGATTCCCAGCTACCGTTGGTCCGGTCGGCAAGTGGTGCATGCGACGCATGGTCAAGGTTGGAAGACCACTTCGAGAAGAAGAGTCTTGCCAACAAGCTGTTCTTGCGCCGTCGCTTCTTCACGACAATGATGGAAGAAGGCGACGATGTGCTCGAACACATCAACAAGCTCAAGACGCTGGCGGAACAGCTAGAAGCGGTGGGGGCTCCAGTCTGCGAGGACGATCTGGTGATCACACTCCTCGGCAGCCTGAGTGACTCGTATCAATTCTTGATCACAGCTTTGGAGTCGCGCTCAGACACTCTTAGCTGGGAGCTCGTGACGTCTCGACTGCTTCATGAAGAAATGAAGCGGAAGGAGCAAGGAAGTAAAGGTGATGAAGCTTCGCAAGGTCAAGCGTTCATCACAAGGGACAATCAGCGCAAAGGGCGACCAGTGAAGAAGTCCTGGCCGTGCCACAATTGCGGAAAGATTGGTCACTGGATGGCGGAGTGCCCCTCGCGCATCCAAGAAAACACGGAGAGACACCGGCCACAGCGTGCTCAAGACAGCGGCGACCGCTATCGATCACAACGTGCAAACGTCGCTCAAGAAGAAGACTCGGGCGACTACCTCTTTTCGATCGGTGAAACGACATCTGCGAAATCGAGCGACATCTGGCTGGTCGACTCCGGGGCGACGCAGCACATGACGTGCTCCAAGAAGTTCATGCGGAACTACAAGGGGTTTGACGCTGTGGATGTCCATCTCGCGGATGATGGAATCGTCCAAGCAATCGGCAGTGGGGACATTGTCATGTCGATGAAGACACCCCAAGGGATGAAGAAAGGTGTGCTCACAAACGTGTGGCACATCCCAAAGTTATCCAGAAACCTGTTCTCGGTCGGCCGCTTCACCAAGGATGTCGGCCCAGTGACGTTCACGAAGGATGGGTGCTATGGAAAAGCGAAAGGGACCAAGTGGAAAATTGGTGCCCGTGAAGGTAAAGGACTGTTCAAGCTGCAAATGACTCCAGTGGCGCCGGAACAAGCAAATGCAGCCAAGTCGTCGGGATGTCAAGGGGGCACCAAGTCGTACCTCTGGCACCTTCGGCTTGGCCACATAGGTCACGATGGACTCAATTGCATCGTGACGAAGAACATTGGAATTGGCATCGACATATCTTCGGTGAAGAAGTGGGACGTGTGTGAAGGTTGTGCTCTGGGAAAACAGACTCGAGTGCGCTTCCAATCAAACACTACAGCTCGCACCTCCAAACTCCTCGAAGTGATTCACAGCGACGTATGCGGACCGATGTCGATGGCAACTTTCAGTGGAAAACGGTACTTCGTGACATTCATTGATGACAAGTCAAGATACTGTGTCGTCTATCTGCTCAAGAGCAAATCTGAAGTTGCGGCGAAGTTCATGGAATACGCTGCGATGGCCGAAACGCAAACCGGAAAGCGCGTGAAGTACCTTCAAAGCGACAATGGGGGTGAATACAAGTCCGACAAGCTGGCACGATTCTGCGCGGAACGGGGAATACAACAAAGGTTCACACCCCCATATACTCCTCAGCTAAACGGAGTAGCTGAGAGAATGAATCGCACGCTGGTCGAGTGTGCGCGTTACATGATGGAACACGCTGGACTGGGAAAGAGCTACTGGGGTGAAGCAGTGATGACGGCGATGTTTCTTCGAAACCGCTGTCCAACACGTGCCATTCACCAAGACAAGTCTCCATATCAAGTGTGGACGATGAAGAAACCGATTCTGGCCAACCTTAAAGTGTTTGGATGCCACGCGTATGTTCAAGTGCCTCAAGACAAACGCGCGAAGTTCGACTCCAAGTCATCACTCTGTCGTTTCCTGGGATACGCCGAACACCAGAAGTCATATCGATTTGAGGAAGTGTCAACAGGAGCGATCAAGATCAGTCGCGATGCCACATTCATGGAAGACAAGTTTGATGAAGGTCCGCGCAACTACAACGATGAGTCAAGTGTCGTTGAGTTTGATGATCATGATGAGGACGAAGAAAAAGAAGAAGGTAAAACTGACGACGACATGGACTCGAGCGACGATGACAACGAAGACACCAGGTCTTCGAAGAGCAACATCAAGAGACACACGCGCACTCAATCACTTGAGAAAGCTACCATCATTCCAAGTCCCAAGCGAAGAACATACAGAGGTCCGTCGCTTGAGCATGTGTCAGCGGCTGCAATGGATTTTGAAGCAGCCTACATCGTTGATTCAGTGGGGGAAACGCCGACTACATTCAAGTCGGCGATGGAATCAAGCGACTCCGGCAAGTGGAAAGAAGCGTGTGACTCGGAGTTCGATTCGCTTCAGAGAAACGACACGTGGGAAATCGTGCCTCTTCCGAAAGGTCGCAAGGCCATCGGGTGCCGATGGGTTTTTCGTGTAAAGGAGAATCAAGATGGCGAAGTTGAACGTTTCAAGGCAAGACTTGTGGCCAAAGGATTCTCACAGAAATTCGGAGTTGACTATGAAGAAACTTTCGCACCGGTGGCCAAGTTCACATCGATTCGTGTGGTGCTCAGTATGGCGGCCAAGTACGGCCTAATGCTACATCAGATGGACGTCAAGACAGCGTTTCTTAACGGCTCCCTCAACGAAGACATCTACATGGACCAGCCGGACGGATACCTGGATGCAACACAGCCGGACTATGTGTGCAAGCTAAAGAGATCACTCTACGGCTTGAAGCAATCGCCTCGCATGTGGAACCAAACAATCGATGGGTTCATGATCAAGATGGGATTCAAGAAGTGCGAATCGGACCACTGCATCTACATCAAGCGAGACGACCAAGACATGATTCTCGTGGTGCTCTACGTCGATGATCTCATCCTGGCCAGCAGCAACAACGAACTCCTCAAGCCAACCAAGATGGCGCTGAGCAAACGCTTCGAAATGACGGATCTCGGTGAGCTCGATTACTTTCTCGGCATGGAGATCAAGAACGACCGTAAGACGGGAATGGTGACTGTACAACAAACCAAGTTTCTCAAGTCCGTGTTAACCAAGTTCGGAATGGATAACTGTTGAAAAGACAGCGGCTGTGAAGAAGACACCTCGTCAAGCTGCGTCAAGTGTTGAAGCAAGTGGAAGACCAAGCTTCGCTATACCGGTGGGTACCGGTATGTACCAGTAAGGGCGAAGTCAGGAAATGACGTCACTGGATGACGTCATTGCATGACGTCAGTGGGTGACGTCAGTGGGTGACGTCACTGGATGACGTCACTGCGAATAATAGGCTTAGAGGTAGTATTCAAAGTTGCGAACTAAGTACCTATTATAAATATATATTCACTTTGCGTTTTGCACTCGGACCAAGAAGTCTAAAGTTCATCAGGTTATGAGCCCAAGTTTGTCAGACTCTGAAACCGCCAACAATTCAAGCTTAGCTGCCATGGACGCCTCCTCCCTCCGCATCTCCAAGTTCGATGGAACTAACTTCCACGCCTGGAAGTTCAAGATGCAGATGGTGCTGGAGGAACGGGACCTATGGGAGGTCGTCAGCGGTGAGATCAAGGCAGAACAGTGCGAGACTCAGTTGGACCAAGCGACGTACAAGAGGAAGTCAAGAAAGGCGATGGCAGTGATCTGTCTAGCCATGGAAGATTCCCAGCTACCGTTGGTCCGGTCGGCAAGTGGTGCATGCGACGCATGGTCAAGGTTGGAAGACCACTTCGAGAAGAAGAGTCTTGCCAACAAGCTGTTCTTGCGCCGTCGCTTCTTCACGACAATGATGGAAGAAGGCGACGATGTGCTCGAACACATCAACAAGCTCAAGACGCTGGCGGAACAGCTAGAAGCGGTGGGGGCTCCAGTCTGCGAGGACGATCTGGTGATCACACTCCTCGGCAGCCTGAGTGACTCGTATCAATTCTTGATCACAGCTTTGGAGTCGCGCTCAGACACTCTTAGCTGGGAGCTCGTGACGTCTCGACTGCTTCATGAAGAAATGAAGCGGAAGGAGCAAGGAAGTAAAGGTGATGAAGCTTCGCAAGGTCAAGCGTTCATCACAAGGGACAATCAGCGCAAAGGGCGACCAGTGAAGAAGTCCTGGCCGTGCCACAATTGCGGAAAGATTGGTCACTGGATGGCGGAGTGCCCCTCGCGCATCCAAGAAAACACGGAGAGACACCGGCCACAGCGTGCTCAAGACAGCGGCGACCGCTATCGATCACAACGTGCAAACGTCGCTCAAGAAGAAGACTCGGGCGACTACCTCTTTTCGATCGGTGAAACGACATCTGCGAAATCGAGCGACATCTGGCTGGTCGACTCCGGGGCGACGCAGCACATGACGTGCTCCAAGAAGTTCATGCGGAACTACAAGGGGTTTGACGCTGTGGATGTCCATCTCGCGGATGATGGAATCGTCCAAGCAATCGGCAGTGGGGACATTGTCATGTCGATGAAGACACCCCAAGGGATGAAGAAAGGTGTGCTCACAAACGTGTGGCACATCCCAAAGTTATCCAGAAACCTGTTCTCGGTCGGCCGCTTCACCAAGGATGTCGGCCCAGTGACGTTCACGAAGGATGGGTGCTATGGAGAAGCGAAAGGGACCAAGTGGAAAATTGGTGCCCGTGAAGGTAAAGGACTGTTCAAGCTGCAAATGACTCCAGTGGCGCCGGAACAAGCAAATGCAGCCAAGTCGTCGGGATGTCAAGGGGGCACCAAGTCGTACCTCTGGCACCTTCGGCTTGGCCACATAGGTCACGATGGACTCAATTGCATCGTGACGAAGAACATTGGAATTGGCATCGACATATCTTCGGTGAAGAAGTGGGACGTGTGTGAAGGTTGTGCTCTGGGAAAACAGACTCGAGTGCGCTTCCAATCAAACACTACAGCTCGCACCTCCAAACTCCTCGAAGTGATTCACAGCGACGTATGCGGACCGATGTCGATGGCAACTTTCAGTGGAAAACGGTACTTCGTGACATTCATTGATGACAAGTCAAGATACTGTGTCGTCTATCTGCTCAAGAGCAAATCTGAAGTTGCGGCGAAGTTCATGGAATACGCTGCGATGGCCGAAACGCAAACCGGAAAGCGCGTGAAGTACCTTCAAAGCGACAATGGGGGTGAATACAAGTCCGACAAGCTGGCACGATTCTGCGCGGAACGGGGAATACAACAAAGGTTCACAACCCCATATACTCCTCAGCTAAACGGAGTAGCTGAGAGAATGAATCGCACGCTGGTCGAGTGTGCGCGTTGCATGATGGAACACGCTGGACTGGGAAAGAGCTACTGGGGTGAAGCAGTGATGACGGCGATGTTTCTTCGAAACCGCTGTCCAACACGTGCCATTCACCAAGACAAGTCTCCATATCAAGTGTGGACGATGAAGAAACCGATTCTGGCCAACCTTAAAGTGTTTGGATGCCACGCGTATGTTCAAGTGCCTCAAGACAAACGCGCGAAGTTCGACTCCAAGTCATCACTCTGTCGTTTCCTGGGATACGCCGAACACCAGAAGTCATATCGATTTGAGGAAGTGTCAACAGGAGCGATCAAGATCAGTCGCGATGCCACATTCATGGAAGACAAGTTTGATGAAGGTCCGCGCAACTACAACGATGAGTCAAGTGTCGTTGAGTTTGATGATCATGATGAGGACGAAGAAAAAGAAGAAGGTAAAACTGACGACGACATGGACTCGAGCGACGATGACAACGAAGACACCAGGTCTTCGAAGAGCAACATCAAGAGACACACGCGCACTCAATCACTTGAGAAAGCTACCGTCATTCCAAGTCCCAAGCGAAGAACATACAGAGGTCCGTCGCTTGAGCATGTGTCAGCGGCTGCAATGGATTTTGAAGCAGCCTACATCGTTGATTCAGTGGGGGAAACGCCGACTACATTCAAGTCGGCGATGGAATCAAGCGACTCCGGCAAGTGGAAAGAAGCGTGTGACTCGGAGTTCGATTCGCTTCAGAGAAACGACACGTGGGAAATCGTGCCTCTTCCGAAAGGTCGCAAGGCCATCGGGTGCCGATGGGTTTTTCGTGTAAAGGAGAATCAAGATGGCGAAGTTGAACGTTTCAAGGCAAGACTTGTGGCCAAAGGATTCTCACAGAAATTCGGAGTTGACTATGAAGAAACTTTCGCACCGGTGGCCAAGTTCACATCGATTCGTGTGGTGCTCAGTATGGCGGCTAAGTACGGCCTAATGCTACATCAGATGGACGTCAAGACAGCGTTTCTTAACGGCTCCCTCAACGAAGACATCTACATGGACCAGCCGGACGGATACCTGGATGCAACACAGCCGGACTATGTGTGCAAGCTAAAGAGATCACTCTACGGCTTGAAGCAATCGCCTCGCATGTGGAACCAAACAATCGATGGGTTCATGATCAAGATGGGATTCAAGAAGTGCGAATCGGACCACTGCATCTACATCAAGCGAGACGACCAAGACATGATTCTCGTGGTGCTCTACGTCGATGATCTCATCCTGGCCAGCAGCAACAACGAACTCCTCAAGTCAACCAAGATGGCGCTGAGCAAACGCTTCGAAATGACGGATCTCGGTGAGCTCGATTACTTTCTCGGCATGGAGATCAAGAACGACCGTAAAGACGGGAATGGTGACTGCACAACAAACCAAGTTTCTCAAGTCCGTGTTAACCAAGTTCGGAATGGATAACAGCAAGCCAGTGAAGACGCCTCAAGATCCCGGCCTGAAGCTAACCAAGAACATGTGTGAACAAGAATGCAAGCACGAAGACACCATGTGCAACGTGCCATATCGAAGTGCTGTCGGAGGCATCATGTATCTCATGGTCGCCACACGTCCGGATCTAGCTGCTGCAGTGGGATCATTATCCCAGTTCTCGTCCGACCCATGCCCGACTCACTGGCAAGCTTTGAAGCGTGTGCTGAGATACCTGCAAGCAACGCCCAATCATGGTCTTGAGTTTACACGTGAAGAAGGAAGCCGTATCTGCGGGTACACCGACGCAGACTGGGCCGGCGACATTGAGTCAAGACGAAGTACAAGCGGCTATGTGTTCATGATGAGCGGAGGATGCATCAGCTGGAAAAGCCAGAAACAACGGACGGTCGCGCTATCTTCAACAGAAGCAGAATACATGGCGCTTTCCGAAGCAACCAAAGAAGCAGTATGGCTCAAAGTGCTTTTGGGGGAACTTGGTGAGATGACAAGCGACGAAGCGATCAAGATGTATGAAGACAACCAAGGATCAATCGCTCTCGCCAAGAACCCGGAGTTCCATAAGAGAACAAAACACATCGACATACGCTACCATTTTGTGCGTGAGAAGGTGGAATCAGGTGAAGTCGTTTTGGAGTATTGCCCGACTCAAGATATGCTGGCAGACATGATGACCAAGCCGATCGCCGCTGTACAATTTGAAAACATTCGCGATCGACTTGGGATCCAAGGTGCCGCAGCTAACGAGTCGAGAGGGAGTGTTGAAAAGACAGCGGCTGTGAAGAAGACACCTCGTCAAGCTGCGTCAAGTGTTGAAGCAAGTGGAAGACCAAGCTTCGCTATACCGGTGGGTACCGGTATGTACCAGTAAGGGCGAAGTCAGGAAATGACGTCACTGGATGACGTCATTGCATGACGTCAGTGGGTGACGTCAGTGGATGACGTCACTGCGAATAATAGGCTTAGAGGTAGTATTCAAAGTTGCGAACTAAGTACCTATTATAAATATATATTCACTTTGCGTTTTGCACTCGGACCAAGAAGTCTAAAGTTCATCATTCCGAAGCAACCAAAGAAGCAGTATGGCTCAAAGTGCTTTTGGGGGAACTTGGTGAGATGACAAGCGACGAAGCGATCAAGATGTATGAAGACAACCAAGGATCAATCGCTCTCGCCAAGAACCCGGAGTTCCATAAGAGAACAAAACACATCGACATACGCTACCATTTTGTGCGTGAGAAGGTGGAATCAGGTGAAGTCGTTTTGGAGTATTGCCCGACTCAAGATATGCTGGCAGACATGATGACCAAGCCGATCGCCGCTGTACAATTTGAAAACATTCGCGATCGACTTGGGATCCAAGGTGCCGCAGCTAACGAGTCGAGAGGGAGTGTTGAAAAGACAGCGGCTGTGAAGAAGACACCTCGTCAAGCTGCGTCAAGTGTTGAAGCAAGTGGAAGACCAAGCTTCGCTATACCGGTGGGTACCGGTATGTACCAGTAAGGGCGAAGTCAGGAAATGACGTCACTGGATGACGTCATTGCATGACGTCAGTGGGTGACGTCAGTGGATGACGTCACTGCGAATAATAGGCTTAGAGGTAGTATTCAAAGTTGCGAACTAAGTACCTATTATAAATATATATTCACTTTGCGTTTTGCACTCGGACCAAGAAGTCTAAAGTTCATCAGATGATCATGATTGTTGAAAAGACAGCGGCTGTAAAGAAGACACCTCGTCAAGCTGCGTCAAGTGTTGAAGCAAGTGGAAGACCAAGCCTCGCTATACCGGTGGGTACCGGTATGTACCAGTAAGGGCGAAGTCAGGAAATGACGTCATGGATGAGTATGGAGAGGGTGACGTCACTGGATGACGTCACTGCGAATAATAGGCTTAGAGGTAGTATTCAAAGTTGCGAACTAAGTACCTATTATAAATATATATTCACTTTGCGTTTTGCACTCGGACCAAGAAGTCTAAAGTTCATCAGGTTATGAGCCCAAGTTCGTCAGACTCTGAAACCGCCAACAATTCAAGCTTAGCTGCCATGGACGCCTCCTCCCTCCGCATCTCCAAGTTCGATGGAACTAACTTCCACGCCTGGAAGTTCAAGATGCAGATGGTGCTGGAGGAACGGGACCTATGGGAGGTCGTCAGCGGTGAGATCAAGGCGGAACAGTGCGAGACTCAGTTGGACCAAGCGACGTACAAGAGGAAGTCAAGAAAGGCGATGGCAGTGATCTGTCTAGCCATGGAAGATTCCCAGCTACCGTTGGTCCGGTCGGCAAGTGGTGCATGCGACGCATGGTCAAGGTTGGAAGACCACTTCGAGAAGAAGAGTCTTGCCAACAAGCTGTTCTTGCGCCGTCGCTTCTTCACGACAATGATGGAAGAAGGCGACGATGTGCTCGAACACATCAACAAGCTCAAGACGCTGGCGGAACAGCTAGAAGCGGTGGGGGCTCCAGTCTGCGAGGACGATCTGGTGATCACACTCCTCGGCAGCCTGAGTGACTCGTATCAATTCTTGATCACAGCTTTGGAGTCGCGCTCAGACACTCTTAGCTGGGAGCTCGTGACGTCTCGACTGCTTCATGAAGAAATGAAGCGGAAGGAGCAAGGAAGTAAAGGTGATGAAGCTTCGCAAGGTCAAGCGTTCATCACAAGGGACAATCAGCGCAAAGGGCGACCAGTGAAGAAGTCCTGGCCGTGCCACAATTGCGGAAAGATTGGTCACTGGATGGCGGAGTGCCCCTCGCGCATCCAAGAAAACACGGAGAGACACCGGCCACAGCGTGCTCAAGACAGCGGCGACCGCTATCGATCACAACGTGCAAACGTCGCTCAAGAAGAAGACTCGGGCGACTACCTCTTTTCGATCGGTGAAACGACATCTGCGAAATCGAGCGACATCTGGCTGGTCGACTCCGGGGCGACGCAGCACATGACGTGCTCCAAGAAGTTCATGCGGAACTACAAGGGGTTTGACGCTGTGGATGTCCATCTCGCGGATGATGGAATCGTCCAAGCAATCGGCAGTGGGGACATTGTCATGTCGATGAAGACACCCCAAGGGATGAAGAAAGGTGTGCTCACAAACGTGTGGCACATCCCAAAGTTATCCAGAAACCTGTTCTCGGTCGGCCGCTTCACCAAGGATGTCGGCCCAGTGACGTTCACGAAGGATGGGTGCTATGGAGAAGCGAAAGGGACCAAGTGGAAAATTGGTGCCCGTGAAGGTAAAGGACTGTTCAAGCTGCAAATGACTCCAGTGGCGCCGGAACAAGCAAATGCAGCCAAGTCGTCGGGATGTCAAGGGGGCACCAAGTCGTACCTCTGGCACCTTCGGCTTGGCCACATAGGTCACGATGGACTCAATTGCATCGTGACGAAGAACATTGGAATTGGCATCGACATATCTTCGGTGAAGAAGTGGGACGTGTGTGAAGGTTGTGCTCTGGGAAAACAGACTCGAGTGCGCTTCCAATCAAACACTACAGCTCGCACCTCCAAACTCCTCGAAGTGATTCACAGCGACGTATGCGGACCGATGTCGATGGCAACTTTCAGTGGAAAACGGTACTTCGTGACATTCATTGATGACAAGTCAAGATACTGTGTCGTCTATCTGCTCAAGAGCAAATCTGAAGTTGCGGCGAAGTTCATGGAATACGCTGCGATGGCCGAAACGCAAAACCGGAAAGCGCGTGAAGTACCTTCAAAGCGACAATGGGGGTGAATACAAGTCCGACAAGCTGGCACGATTCTGCGCGGAACGGGGAATACAACAAAGGTTCACACCCCCATATACTCCTCAGCTAAACGGAGTAGCTGAGAGAATGAATCGCACGCTGGTCGAGTGTGCGCGTTGCATGATGGAACACGCTGGACTGGGAAAGAGCTACTGGGGTGAAGCAGTGATGACGGCGATGTTTCTTCGAAACCGCTGTCCAACACGTGCCATTCACCAAGACAAGTCTCCATATCAAGTGTGGACGATGAAGAAACCGATTCTGGCCAACCTTAAAGTGTTTGGATGCCACGCGTATGTTCAAGTGCCTCAAGACAAACGCGCGAAGTTCGACTCCAAGTCATCACTCTGTCGTTTCCTGGGATACGCCGAACACCAGAAGTCATATCGATTTGAGGAAGTGTCAACAGGAGCGATCAAGATCAGTCGCGATGCCACATTCATGGAAGACAAGTTTGATGAAGGTCCGCGCAACTACAACGATGAGTCAAGTGTCGTTGAGTTTGATGATCATGATGAGGACGAAGAAAAAGAAGAAGGTAAAACTGACGACGACATGGA